GGGTGAAAACGTGGAAGGAATGCGTACTCTTTGTAGTTTCTTCGTGAAGATACATTATGATTACAGGCCACTTGCGTTCGCTGCCAGTGATTGCTAAATCTATGCTGCTCTTATTATATTGGCTTATTTGAAAAGTTGAAACCAGGGCACATGGTGTAGTTGGTTTATCACGCTCGCTTAGCATGCGAGAGGTGTCCGGTTCAATTCCGGATGTGTCCAGTAAGAACTGGTTGATCTTAGTTTTTTGCTGGCCCTCTTTCATATACCTGCAGTCGTAAAGCGAGAAACAGAGAGCAGAGGCCGTACAATGTATGACTTTGGAGTTGGTTTACAAGCTCTCACTGTGAAGAATGGCAACGATTACTGGCATTCATGGCATAGCGATCAGCAGCGCTTATAAAAACAGACATCAGGCACAGGCGAGGACATGAGATGGGATGGAGGGAGGAACAAGTACGGGTAGTGTATGTACTGGTACTGGATACAGTAAGTTGCGTGCGGAATGGAGTGCGGTGCGTGCAGTTCAGTTCAAGTTCGGGAGGCAGTGCGGTATGCAGGTATGGCAGTGCAGAAGTGTATGTGCAGAAGGGCGAACGAAGCGACGGAGAGTTGGAGACGGATCGAAGGGATCGAGATCAGGCAGAGGATGCTGGGCTACAGTGCTGCAGGATATACGGGCGACCAGCGCCGAAAGCGGTTCAGGCAGGGCGGTTCACTACGACGTCTCCATGGCGTCAGAGGTGGGTTCTGTGTTTTCCGGCATACGTGGCTGGATAGCGCTCGTACTGGCCAAGAGATCCATTGCTGACGCAGGCGCATCCACAGGCCGAGTAGGTGCGTCGAGAGACATGCGCCGGGCATCGAGCTCCGCGTCGAGGTCATCATAGCCATCTTCGATCAACTCGCGTTGCGGGGGAGGGGGCGATGGAGCCTTCTTTGCAGGAGGCATACTCAAGACCGGGGGCGGAGGCACGGGACCGAGAGCCAGAGCGGCCACCAGAGCACGTTGAGACTTCGTGGACGACCGAACCACGGGCTCCGGAGCATTGGCTGCCATTTCCTTGTCAACAAACTCGAAACTGGCAGCGCCTTTCGCGTCGCGGAGGGTTCGAATGCCCTTGGTCAGCAGCGCATCCTCAAGAGCGCGAGGACCGCCGCGCGCAACTCGAGCGACGCAGGACGTGAGGTGACGGTGCATGAGATACGTCTCCGCGCGAGAGATGAAGGCGCCACAGAGGCGACAAGAACCCGTCTTCGCCTTTTCGTGGCAATTGAGGATATGGTTCCTCATGCTGACGACCTTGAGCGAACGTCCGCACGGGCCGCCAGCAATGCTTTTCCTGCGTGAGTTTGCAGTTGCGGATGAAGGGGTCGGCGCGGGCGTGTCGGCATCTGCTGAAGCATCGTGCCACAGGCACACAGTCGTCTCGCCATCGATAGCTCCTGGCGTAAGTCCGTGCGCCTCGCTGAGATGAGCAACGATGTTCGCCGTCAGAGGTTCGTGTATAAGTGCGCCGCATCCGCCAGCCCAAGCGCATTTCACAGACGTGCGGCGTGGTGACAGTGCGAGTAGGAACTTGTCTCCCAGCTCCAACAACTCGGCCTCGGTGAAAGGCGGCGGGTTTGCGTTCGTGGTTGCCGTACTGGCCAAAGACAGCTGTCTCGTAGACGGACCAGCTTCGTTTGACGCGTTGGGTGGCGGTGGCTTAGACGTAGATTTCACCCTAGGTGGTGTGGTGCGAGATCCCGCCAGAGGCATTTCAGGTGATGAAGGCGGCTCGTCCTCCTCACGTGGTGCAACGATACTTGGGCGTCGTCCATTGGAAGCCAGAACAGCGGCATGTGTCGTACCGACGGTCGATGCGCGAGGGCGGCGCTCCACAGATCGTCGGCGGGGTCTACGCGGCGCAGCACAAACATATATCAGTCAAACGTAAAGTTGTGGACAGCTGAGGTGTGGAACTCACGCGTCAGACGCAAACGAGCCTCTACGCGCGCTGTACGTATCATTTGGCGCGACTTGGGCCTCCGGGGGTGCATGCGAGTGCGCGCCAAAGGTGAAGTTGGCAAAGTCGGGTTCCGGGCCGGGCGCCGTGTAGTAGTGATACTGGGCGTGCGGCGGTGCGAGCGCTGGTACGAAGTGTGTGAGGGGCCCCATACGCGTATCGCGCGCGTACGACGGCACGTGGGCCTGTGTCGCGTAGCGTGGACGGTAGAGAGTGGCGTGCGCGGCCGAGGGCTGCTGGAGGTATGGATGCGGGTGTGCGACGGGGTAAGCGGAAACCGAGTAGCGCTCGCGCCGGGTGGGCGAGGGCGGGCGCACAGCGCGTAGAATCATGCCATCTCCGCCCGAGTACAGGTGTCGTGGGTGGTCGCGCTCGTGCTGGCGGTTCCACTCGTGTCGCCTGAGCCTTTCAGCTTCACATGTGTTACACACTTCCGCAATGAGGTCCTTGCTGGCAGCAAAGTGAAGTTAGTAAGAAATAATGAGAGACAGGGCTAGGAAACGCACACTGGGGGCAGCGACAGCTTGCGGTCAGGTCCGCTGATGGGTGGCAAGTCGGCCGTGTCGATGTCCATCTCACCGTCGACGCCCTTTGAGACGGGCGTGGTCGGAGTCGAGTCAGACGGTGGAGGCGCGACGGAGAACTCGTCGTCAGAAGAAGGATAGTCGGGGCGCATAGCAAAGTGATACAAGGAAGACAATATCCGGGGTGGCTCTATATAGGAACGCAGTACGTCCACCGCCACGCCTGTGGCGAGCGCAAACACAAAGGGCCTTTCTAATTGTTTCTTCACACGGATTTGCGCCCGCACCTGCGTTCCTTGACCAGCCGGATCCCAGACTCAACCACGAACTTGAATGAAGTGGTTCCCGCTCAGAGACAAGGAAGAACAAGAGGATGGATGCGAGACGAGGAGCCGCAGACAATTGTGATCAAGAACGGAAGGAAACCACACCGCCATCATGCATCAGGCCCGCCGGGGCCACCGTCAGGGGCACCAAATGACCATAGAGTTTATCGCGCCGACGTTGCTCTTTCGCCCTTTCACCTTCCTCCATTACACCCCATTCACGCCACACGATGGGTGCATCATTATCGCGCGTGCGTTCCTTTCACAGGTGTCACCAGCCCTTTCTGTGTCGAGCGCTTCAGAAGTTAGAAGCTGCAGAAGCTGCGCGGACGGCCGTGCCACGCTCAAAGCGTCCGTTAATTCTGCCGGAGGACGGACGAAAGGCAATCAGAAACGTGCTTTAGCCTCGACCGCCATAAGCGGCCGCGTGGTCGACCACATGCCCGTGGACGAGACGAGCGCTGCGTCTCCTTTGTTCTCTCGCTTTGAGCCCGACATTGGGCGCTCGAGTCCTCCATTTTCACAGTAGAGTTCTCGAGAACCCGCGGAATCGTCATCGCAAGCGCCGCAGAGGGTCCGTGCCTTTAGCGCTCAAGTCCAGCCGCTAGTGACTGCGACGGGATGGGGGGCGACTTCACAAGCGCGCCACCCGGTCCAAGCGCCCTTGTGTTCGCGCCTACGGCTTCCGTCAAACCACAGGCGGCTCGTCATAGACGCCTGAATGGGGTCGGAGGTCTTCCGCACCCGCGGTTCTGGTGCCTCTGTTGAACCACAACCTCCTCCGCGCTGTCGACTGTGTGTCGCGAATAATCTGTGACCAAAGGCGTGCTCCTGTCCTACTCATGATTACTAACAGGATCGTAAGAGTCCATACCAACATGTACATGCGTATCGCAGCTGTCAAGCCGTTTATACCATACTCTTTGCCCTAAGATGGTTCCAGCGTCTATTGATCTCCCTTGCATGTCCAGGAACCAACGATACGTTCGCTGCACTGCTCGCATGATACAGCACAAGGCAGCACACATATAGTTTCCCTCAACCGTGCGTCGTGCTGTGCCGCCGGTGTTCAAGCTCTAATAAAAGATACGTAGGCGCTGCAGATCAAGGGCCTCAACCGTAACTCACTGAGCCCACGAACTCTGACTTTGAACTCCGACTCCGCCTTCCTGCCTCGACATCTACGCCGGTAGCTCATGTATCTAGAGCAGCGAGTTAGGTATGTGCACGCATTATTGCGACCTCAGTACCCAGTCACGTCTACAGCTTGTTCATCCAACTTGTACGTCATGAGTCAGCGAGCGTTTTTCGCAGCGCGTCTCCCATCATCATCATCCAGTTTGCGCTGAATCTCCTTATACAAGCCTTGAGAACGGGGTCAAACGCTCCCGCGTCATGCTTCGTACAAGATGTCCTGCAAGATCGGTTTGATGACTGCATACAGAATTGGTATTGGGGTCCAGTGCTTCCATGGTTGATGTTGACACTCCTTGACATGCGTAGCTGAACTGTCATGGCGAGTGTGTTGGGAACGGGTCGAGATACCACCGCACACCGTTCCGCCTAGGACGTTCTTCGGCATCTGTCAGACAGCCGATATCTTCTACTCCGGGAAGCAACGCTCTCAAGAACTCCATTCAGGTTACCATCTGCGCTTACGGCTGCGAAACATGAGAAAACGCCGTGCTTGCAGTGGCACTCCACTGTACGGGGTTCTTGTCCGCTACGAGCGGCTGGCTGAAGCGGATGGAGTCCTGTGCATGCTATATGCCCGTCCTGCGTCGTCGCAAACGACTTGGTACCTGCACGGCAACTTTGGGAACAACTCGTAGGTTGTAGCGAAGGGTCACCCGCAGGATGTTCTACACCTTCTCCGGAACGACTATCTCCATCAAGGTCATCCGAGACACGCTTCCAACAACAGGCGATGGCTCATCGCTGAACACCAGGAGCAAAATCACCGAATACGCACGGCGAACGACCCCGAACGTGGGCTTTATAGTCATCACTGCATGCCTAACCCGATCTTCGGTCGCCTCACGTCCTTGGCGCGGAGCCTCAGATTCGCGAGACACAACTATGGCTCCAGCGACCGATGGGCATAGGATACTCTTCTGCCCCATGTTTATCCCGGCAATCCAGACGCGACTATACACACTGTCAGGGTCGCTGCCCATTTCCCGGCTCTCCTAGCTGTGTGAGATGGTACAGGATATACTGTTTGGTATGCACGCATGCACAAACTCTGTGGGCGTTGCGGACGACGTTCGCCGCTACAACACTTGTCTTAGCTGCCGTATGGATTACGCGGACTTCGGCCGTGTTTCTTTGAGACCCTGACCTGTGTGCATAGCTATAAGTGAGCCTTTGCTCGGTGGAGCTGGGACGGTTCGTAAGCTGTTGGAGAAATAGATCATGCGCATAGTGTTCAAAGTCCTTGGCGGAGACCACTTTCCCCATCGGGTAGAGCCAATGTCGCGTAGTCGTGTGATACGCTCTTCGCGGCAGTGGCAGTTGGGAAATATGTGCTCAAGCAGATGTGTACGTGCCTCTTTCTCGATGAGCGAGTACAAGCAAACTGATCCAGAGGTACCACTTCTAGGTCATAGCTTGCGGTTTCAGAGCGTAGCAATTACCAGTCTTGATTGTCGGGATCTTACGGGCTAGTAAACCTGGTGATCATGAGCACCATACAACGCCAGATGAGCACGGTCCATGGACTCACCGCTTCCGGTCATCAAACGGTCACCGCATCCGCAAAGCGTCGGGGTCGCTTCGGAACCGTTCCAAGAGACTATCGCACCGGCTCAGGGATATGCTCTGGAGCTGCCGCCGGGTAGACTATCTTTGGATCCCGAGAGCGCAGTCATCAACGGATCGCCGCTGGCGCTCCCGCACCGAACAGCTGCGTTGGGGGCGCGACAATGTAGAAGCATTGGCCATTTTCGACCTAGCGAGTGAGCCTTCGGTATCAGCGAGACCGCCTGTAACGGCATCCCGGTCTGATGCCGAGTTCGCGCTCTGAGAGCATGAGGCATGCTTGGGGAGTGAGATGGGTGGATTGACCGTCGTGCGATGATCTGTGGGATGGAAGCCTCAAGCGGCCATTGTATCTTGTGCACTTTACACCGTTGCCTTCCCGATGTCTGATATGATATGAGTTACTGTTGCACTACCAGCTCGCAAACGTACTAGTGCCGGACAAGAGCACTCATACCTATCCATATAAGTCATATGGCCGACAAAGAGAAACCAAACAGCGCCTACATACGCGCTGTATTAGCAGGATCAGCACGCGTGGGTGTTCTGACTTGCCTTGGTATGGCGGTCCATCGGTTTCTTACCCTTTCGCCCTGGTCTCCATCCCCATTCGGCTGCTATGCGCTTGGCGGTCCAGCACTCTCGGTATGTGGGGGTGCTCCCTTCATCACATAGCTCGTGCTTCAGTGCTGCCGATACCCTACCCTTCCCACCACGGTCGAGGTATCCGTGTCCCCTCAGTACATAGGCTTCATCGCCCACAGTAATCACCCAATCCAGCAAGTCTACACTTGTAAGCGTCATTCTTCTCAACGAGTCGAACGCGCAAGTGAGAGATGGCGTTTCCTAGCGTTAGGTGGAATGGACCCTTCTCTAGACGAGCCTAAGGCCATGTCTGAACGCCGGAAGCTTTGGAGGATCTATCGGCCCCACGTTTTTAACTTCTGTAGAAGATCCTCCTAACAATCAAAAACACTTGTAGGTAACTCTAAGCGAGGCAGGGCTACAATCGAGATCGGTTTGTATCGGACCGGAGGCGAGCTGTACAAATCTCATTGTCGCCGTGTGCTGCGTGTGCCTCGCGGAAATGTATGAGCGACGGAACAGCCGTCCGAGTGACGACCTTCACGGAAGTGGAGAGACGTGCCGCACGTAGGCGACAGATGAACGTCAAGTTCAAGGTCCGCCATCTTTTAGCGCCGGGGTCCGACGCGTAGGAAAACACACGTGAGCGTGTTGGGCTGGCGGGGACTCGAGGTCTGGCGCTCTGCGCATTACTCTGCTCAACGACGAGGACCCTGTGGCGAGGGCATGACAGGCAGTACCAAGCTCATGTGGCTTCTCTCCAACCCAACGCCTCTGAGACTACACCGTTAATGCTCAAATCCCCCTCCGAAATGCAGTCCCCGCTTCTACCCGATCTCCGTCTTCTGCAACCGCCACCAGCTGTAGACCGAAGCGTGCCGCACAACAGGGCCATGGCTCAGGGCCCAGATGCTGGGATGTCGGCAGACCATGGCACTGACGGGGGCTGAGACCGCTTTCCTGCATCTTGTCTCCAACGGGCCTCGAGTGTGAATGCACGGGAGTGTTTCGCGCCCAAGCTCCCCACGTACATCTATGCGCTCGCATCAGAGGTCGCCGAGCGGCCGCCCGGGGTCCACTGTAGCCTCCTGATATCGTGTTGTACACCTTGCTCTGGCTGTTCACAAAGGACCTTAGGCAACACCGGAAGGGCCGTCCCAAGGCAGACGTACCCAGTGCGCTCGATGAGCCGGTAGTCAGATTACCCACCGGCGGGTCTTTTGTTCGTTCGACATGCATCGCCTGAAAGCTACGGAGAAGGAGTAGATGGACAGAGAGATACGAACAGGCGCAGTAGCGATAGGAGGTACGTCTGCCGCAAGTCCATCGGGGCGCTGGGCTACGCTGGAAGGGACATGCACAATGTGGTGTGACTGATTCAGCAATGACAGTGTAGGCCAATGGCCCACGACTTGGATCGACATGTCAAGATCTTTTGCCGTGCTTGTACCCTGGAGGTGAAGTGAAAATTACTTTGAACAAGTGGACAACCGTCTGACGAAGATCGACCTTCAAACCCGCCAACGCCGCCTCGCAACCTGACGGTCGACGGAAATACGCTAGGCCGGGATAAAGCCGAAGCCGCTCATCAAGTCCATCAGCAGCGCGCGTCGATACGTTCTGTGCACGAGGCACCAGCCGCGCCGAACTAGGGCTTTGGACATTCTTTGGCGTCCCTTCGCCTCCAGCAATCGAAGCCCCTTGTAATCTCAACGATCCGATCTTACCGGAGACAGGTCTCCCTGATGGGAATGTCAATTCTAAGGATTGTAAGCCTTGACGCGGCGGCTAGCGAGATAGTTACCGCGATGTTTCGCGGGAGTGCCGCTCGCAGACCCGCATTCCACCGGTGCTTCTTGAGCCAAAGTCGAATATACGGAGATAGCGGGATAAGTGACGCAGAAAAAGCACCAGATGTCTACGGTTTCCGCATTCTGGCGCGAAATCTCGCGTAGGACGGAGATCGCCTGACTCCGCGAGAGTACAGACGTTGCTACGCGAACGTCCGTAAACACGAAGATTCAGATGCAGTGCACGGCGCCAAGCGCAGTTGGATGCTTCAAATAGGTCCACCTGTGGGCGAGGACATGACCGATATTTGATACCCTGCCGACATGTTGCCCTCATCCCGTAACGTTCAACACGCACCGCCGGTCGGTGTCCCCCAGCACCTCCCCGTGGCTGGCTCAAGTCGCCTAGCAGCGGAAACCCCAATGCAAGATACCCCGACCAAACGAGATCTACCGCGGAAGAGGTCTTTCCACCGGACGAGAAGGACGTCAACATCTGTAAGTACCTTGACGAGTGCCTACCTTGTCAACTCCGCTCTGTGTCGACATCGATCGATATGGAATTCGTGAAGGTGGTTGGACATGTTGACCTGTGACCAATGTGGAAGAGAATTCCCACCCGCTGCCTCGTTGTAGAGCGCAGTTTGAAATACTCCGCGTCCTAGACTCAACCACCATCCACAAACACCATCTGTGGCACGTCTATAAGATCTCCGGCGTCCTGGGCCCGTCCGCGATGTTCATCGAGACTGACTAGCCCTTCTCTCAGATGCGTTTGCCGGGCTGCCACGAGTTGCTGAACGGTGTGCCTGCGCCCGACTCTTTGTGGGCGAGGGCCGGCGACGGCTCACCCTCCGGCGGCAAGGTTCCCCTCCTCGACGGGTTCATGCAACCTACACGGTCCTCCGTAGGCTCAAGCCAGCCCAGAACACTGAGCGTACCTGAGTAAGTTTCAACGAAATCGCTTGTTATCACGCGTCGATGCTCATTGTTCTCCATTTAGTAGCATCCACCCGGTGGCGCGCCCAGATGACGCTCCCCCGCCGTTTAGGACCCCGCCAGTAGACAACCCGCCCGCTGAGGCTTCCCCAGCTTTATTGTTCTCTTCGTTGTCAGTGCATATAGGCTATTTTCCCGCGTGATTTGGTCAAGGGCCCCTGCTAATCCTACTACCAGGCCGTCTTCACGCCCAAGCTTTACCACAGGCCCTACTCTCGATCAACAGCCTGCTGGATCTCTCATGCCCTACAAGCACAAAAATATAGCTCGGTACTCTCCATACGCTAGCTCGATGTAAGTATCATCGTCCCAAAGATCCCCCGCCACCACTGACTAGTAATAGTGGTTCTTCATGGTCTCCGCCATCATCTGCGAGCTCTTTTCTCAGCCTAGCTAACGCCACCTCCTCGCGAGTTGCGGGCGCACGTCTTGAGAGCCCAGGATTTTTCGCCTCGCCTCCGCCGTTCACACCTTCCCCACCACACCACGCACGTGATCTTATTAACCACAACCCAACTACGCCGCCACTCGGCCGCCTTCGCCCGGTGGACCCTTCATGGTGCGCCGAGTCTGAGCATCAAGGACCAAGCCTTCGCCACGCATCTACGAACTCCGCATCGACGTCTAGCACGCAACGCGAAGACGACGATATGTCTGACGAAGACGAAGGGATCGTCGTGCCGCGCAAACGGAAGCGCGCTCCCGGCCGAGGCAAACCCGAAGGCGAGGCGCACACTACTGCGCTCGATAACGCTCCGCCGCCGTTCAATCTCGACCAAGCGTCGTACACCATCCTCAAGGACCATCTCTGGATTCGTGACGGTGTAATGCCCCCATCATTCCACTGCCTCTGGCGTGGTTGCCACTTGCGGGTATCAACGGGTGAGAGTCAAATCCCGACGCATTACACCGACGTACATAACCTCGCGCCCGGCTCTACTCGCGTTCGCTGTCGCTGGGTCGATAATAAGGGGAAGATGTGCACGGCGCATACTTCATTCCATAACTACCGCTTACACGTCCTCGACGTGCATCTGCGCGTTAACATTGGTCGCTGCAAGATTTGCAACCACCTCATGACGAACGACGGCGGCATGAAACGCCACCTCAAACGATGCCTCCGGATGCGTACAGTGGACGAGATGTGGCAACAATACGGTGTACATATTGTGCTACCGCCGCCCGGAGTCGAGGGCGCCGAGGGCCGGTGTTACATCCCTCCTTGAATATGCTTGGGATTCACTTTCGTCGAATGTATGCTTTGATTTACTGCTATCTATCATGAGTTGTCTCCTTCACCCTATCGTCGCATCACCTGTTCCTTCGCACTGCCTTCTACCCTCTATCATGAAAACTGTCTCTCTCGTTGTTGTATCACACATCGGATTATGCATATCTTTCCCTGGTTGCCATTTGTTCGTCCGGGGCATCTTTCCCCGTGTTAGCCTCTGCCACGATACCGAAGAGCCCGTCGGCCTTGCCGTTAGACTACGATGACACGACAGCCGACTCCGCCGTGGTCGGAGAAGTCTGAACTCAAGGGCGACCCGACCAAAAAGGGCTACATAGCACTTCGCCGACCATCTCGAGAATCACCCGGCCTGATCCATCTGCGCCACTCGTCCGATGCGTCTATCAGGCCGAATTGTCAGTCTGGATATAGATAACGCAGACGCAAGAAGAGTCTAGATAGTAGCAGCAATGTGGAGCGTGTGTATGGCCTCTCTATTTGCGTATTCATGAGTATGCGGCGACTCTTTGTCAACAATGGCAGCCGGTGAGGTAAACCGCATGGAGCATTCGAAGAGTCGAATCGTCAATCATCAGTTGCAATGAGCTGCGTCGCCTGAGTACAAGCATACTTGACTCGGGGTACGCGGGGTGATCGAAGCATGTATCAGACTCACTATCAGCAGCTAGACCCTTTGTGGGGACAAGGTGTCAAAAGCATCCATCCGGTGGAAGAAGGCGAGATTCGGTCGCAGGAAGCTAAGCCTGGTCACGTATAGTAAGAATTCCCCAAACGCACGTCGCTCTCGCATGCAACCTTCGCCTTCTTCAGGGGCAGACTGGCGTGCGTGTACACTCGAGCGTGAACGGAATAGAACTCCGGTCGCGTAGTACCCTTCGCTGGGACTCGCTTGAACACACTCAACGCAGAAGTGTTGCTAGCCAATCGCCGCATGAAAGCTAACCTAGCCGTTCTTCCCAAATGTCACAACCGGGGTACGTCTGGGTACGTATGGTAGTCAGCAAGAGATCCAATACATAGGTTGTGAATTCAGTAAGGGACTGCCGCCACCGCCCGTAAGACATCCCCGAGCTCACGTTGATGGCACTCGGCTAGATCTCTTCCTCATGCATAGCTCTACTGTCCTAGCCTATGATCCCAGAGCGTTCGGGCGCACGGAATTTCTCGATAAACCACGGCTACGTCAAACCAGAAGCTTATGCCAGCTGCAGCTCGGGAAACTCGGGACGGGTGCCTGCATCCTTGATCTGCACGATACGTCGGTGTGTTGACCCTCGCGGACTACATTGATATGTGCATTACGCCTGTTGTTGCGACGGCGTGGGCGAGTGCAGTTCAGCACACCGCTCGTCATGGCGGTCCAGAGAGGAGGCAGATCCGGTTGTCCGCGGAGCTCGTCCCGTGACCCCGTTTGTTGATTGTGACAAGCGTGTTTGTGTGCGAGTCACAAACCTCACGCGGCGCACTCATAAGCGCTCAGCGCGGATGTTGGTGGCAAACGACTCTTTCCGCTACCGCCACCATCCTGCCTTGAGCGCTACCCTCTTTCACCAACCCACCCAACACTTCAATCTTCAATGGCACCCAAGCCCGCTTCGACTGCCGGAAAGGCCCCCGCATCCACCGCCTCCAAGGCTCCCGCAAAGACAACTTCTGAGGGCTCCAAGGCCGCGAAGAAGACCAAGGCGGCGGCACCTGCTGACGGCGAGAAGAAGAAGCGTCGCAAAGTCCGCAAGGAGACGTACTCTTCTTACATCTACAAGGGTACGTCAACGATCTTTTGCAACCATGTCGGACGCGCAACTCATCATTATTGCCATAGTCCTCAAGCAGGTCCACCCCGACACTGGTATCTCGAACAAGGCGATGGCAATCTTGAACTCCTTCGTCAACGACATCTTCGAGCGCATCGCAACAGAAGCTTCCAGTACGTATTGAATACTGCTGAGTATGTTCATCTACTTATCGCTCATTTGTAGAGCTCGCATCATACTCGAAGAAGTCTACCATCTCTTCGCGTGAAATCCAAACCGCTGTCCGCCTCATCCTGCCTGGTGAGTTGTCGAAGCACGCCATCTCTGAGGGAACGAAGTCGGTGACGAAGGTGTGTGCTATTCTTCTACTGCAAAAACATATGTACTGACTGTATGGCCAGTTCTCGAGCGCTGGTGCCAAGTGATTATTTCTCTTCCGGATGGTTCTTTGTGTGTATACTATACTGTATTTTTCCTATTCCCGATCTCAACATTACCACTACACAACTTGCGTGAACTTTGGGCGAGGCAAACCTTTTGTCAGCGAATCGTGCGGACGAAAGTACTGAGCATAGCTACTGTTGGTTTTGGTGCCGGTCAGTCTTGAGAAGCGTCTTTTATCGTCATCAACTCATACGACGGTATGGCTGTAAGCAGACCCCTCGTACTCGGTGGACGACGCAAAATAATATGACGTGACGCGTTTAGAGGATGCACTGACAGTGAGTGAAGACGGCTCTGCCGGACATTATTCCTCGGAGAAATGATACAACTACTACGGATGTACACCCGATACCTCCGCGTCAAGGTTTAGCAGATTCGTCCGGAGCGTGCGATCCAGCTTGTCCACGAGACACAGTCAAATCCTTTCCCCGGCCCGCTCGAACTTCTCTCCACATCGCTAGTTGATGTATGACCACTTCGTGCTTCTTTCTTCCTGTGTGTATCTAGTCACAGTCAGACGCGAATAGCAGGCGATATTTCTGATGCGTCATGGGGTCAGCGCTCGGCGAGGTATATCAGCTCGAGGTGTCGCGTCCTGAATATTTGTCGCTCGATATCACCTTGGGCTGCTGGATGTTCTATTGTGCTCACGATGTGGATCATGCCAGTGCGCGGGAAATGGCTCGTCATAGCTATCACAGGTGAGTTTGGCGACCTTCTACGCCTGCAAGATCCGCGCTGACATCCGTCAAGCATGTTGCTGTCAGGGGTTTCTTTTGCTGGGATACGATCAGGGTGTGATGTGCGTACCACACAACTGCCACCTGTAGTTAACTCCTCAGACACCCTCAGGTCGGGCCTTGTTGGCGCAGATAACCAGTTCGGCAGAGATTTCGGCAATCCAGGGCCAACGGCGCAGGGTACTATTGTACGCACAATCGCTTCTCTCACCTGGCTGTGCCCGTGCTAAGCCAACCACAGGTGGCGATCTATGTACGACTCTGGGTTGCCTCAGTGATCCCCTTTCTCTGACGCCGCATAGGATATCGGATGTGCTGTCGGCAGCCTATTCGTGTTCTTCTTCGGTGAGGCCATCGGGCGCAAACGCATGATCATGGCTGGTGCTAGCACGATGATCGTCGGCACGGTGAGCGCCCTTACAAACTTGGCGTGCCTACGACTGGCCTCACCTATGCACAGGCAATCCTCACAAGCTCTACAACACGAGCGCAACTCATTGTTGGGCGCATAGTGACTGGCATCGTACGCGTTTGTCACATGTCGTCCATGCATTGAGCTGAACTACCTTCAGGGCAACGGCTTCAACTCCTCATCCATCCCAGTCTACCAATCTGAAACGTGTGGCAGGCATATCCGTGGCACGCTCGTTTGTCTCAATTCAACGGTTACCATTATCGGTCTAGTCATTGTACGTTGCGCCTTACACTTGATGACCTCTGTCCTGAACACCTTTCAGGCTTACTGGCTCGACTACGGCATGTCCTTCGTTAACGGGCCGGCCCAATGGCGCCTTCCCATTGGCTTCCAAGCATTCTTCGCCCTCTGCCTTCTACTCCAAGGCGCTGTACTACCCGACTCGCCCCGTTGGCTACTCGCTCATGGGCGCGAGGAAGAGGCGTTGAGTGTTCTGTGCCAGTTAGAGGACAAGCCTGCGGACCACGAGGACGTAATCGAGATGAAGCGGGAGATTGAGGTGTCGCTCATGCAGGAGAGCGCCGGCGGTATGCAGCGCGCACCCTAGCCGTAGGATGGAAGCGAGCTGACATCACGATAGGTCCCTTCAAGTACAGGGAACTGTTAGAACGTGGACCGGTCGACAACTTCAGGCGGGTGTGCTTAGCCGTCGGAATTAACGTGATGCAGCAGTTCACTGGGTCGAATATGATCAAGTACGCCTTCGCTATTCTATGCCATGCTTGTTCAGAAGACCAACGGAGCGATATAGCTATCTTGCCCCTGTCGTCTATCAGAATACAATGGGTCTGTCCAGGAACCTATCGCTGATTCTTGGCGGTGCAACTTCATGCACGTATATGGTCGCCTCATTCATACCACTCTGGGTGCGTCGTTACGCAGCAGCATCGAGACCATTCGTCTGACGCACCGCGCAGACTGTTGATAGATTCGGACGGCGCCCACTGCTCATGATATCCGCAAGCGGGCAATCCCTGTGCTTCATCATTGCCTCCATATTGTTGTCTATCGGGACCCTGTCGGCCGCATACGGCGCCACGGCTATGGTGTGTCGCCTTGGGTTTTGCCATTGTCGGCGTTTCGGCTTACTTTCTGGCAGGTCTTCATCTTCCAAATCTTCCTGGGCATCGGCTTCCTACCCATTGTAAGCCCGTCTGCTGTTCCTATCCTATTCGTTGGCTGATGAGCAGATAGCCCTGGCTCTACCCTGCGGAGATAGCAACGACGCGCATCCGCGCACGAAGCTCCGCTCTCTCATCTTTCTTCAACTGGATGTGTGTCTTCGCAGTCGTTGAAATGACCCCACCGGCGATCGCAAACATAGACTGGCGAGTTTTCATAATTTTTGCCGTGACGAACGCGCTCTGGGTACCGTACGTCCTCGCCTTTCCGTCCCTGAACCTCATGCTGACCGCGACGCTAGGATCGTATACTGCTTCTTTCCTGAAGTTGCCAGCTTGTCTCTTGAGGATATCGATCATATCTTCGAGAAGGGAGGCATCACTGGCGGCGTATGGAGTAGCCCAGGCGGCCGCACTGTTGAACCAAACCGTATCCGCAAGGATGTTGAGGAAGTGCTCGAGCGCGAAGATGACAACAAGATGAAGGGAGAGAAGTTCTGACACTTTCTACGGTCTAGACGGCGAAGCCATGTACTGTATATTAAACGTTTTACGAATGGGCCTACGATTCAGTCGCGCGGGGAACACGAGGCTCGCATTGACTGTGAGACTTCGCCAATAATGACGTCACGCATCATGCCATTGATCTCGCTTAACGGGCTCCAGCGGCCTGTGTGGCGCGTCGCTGCGCCGGCTGCCGCCCAATGACGCCCAGCTATTTCTAAGCTGTGCCATAGGCGGAGACTGGTGTCTTACAACCTGAACCGAACCACCACCACCAACGCCCAACTACTTTCACGACCACTTTACGCGCAGCTATTCACGATGGCCACCAGCCCACACAGCGCCCGCATGGTGCGTGTACCGGGCCCGTCTCACAAGGCTCATTTCTCAATGTCGCTTAGGCAGCAGCAGTCGTCGCCTCGATCGGCGTAGCAGGTGCAGGATTGTACGGTACGGGAAAGTCGGCAAAGTCGGAGACGAAGAACCAGACGGCACATGGTGTGTTCAGAGTCTTTCTCCTGCCCAGTTTTCGCATACTGACTATTATGGATCACCTCAGGGGGACCCGAGGAATCTGATCCTAATGCGATGACCTCGGGTCAGGTTGTCAGCGCGCTTCACCAGAAACCGATGATTCCAGGGAAGACGGCGACGCAGGACAAAGAATAGGCTTGCGACCTAATCACACCCATGTTACTAAGCCACTGTACGATATTAATCAATGCAGAGTTTGAGTATCCAGTATTGCTATCGGGATATCCCTCCAGTAACACGCAAGCACTGCATCGGCCGCCTTCTTCCTGGCTCTTCATGTGTGGTCAGTGCCATCCATCACCACCTAGATGGCAACCCCCGGAGTCTCGGTGCTGAGCCTTCCCGCATACCGCGCTCCTAATATCTCCGCTATCACGTTGTACAACAGGAGAGGGCAAGCAATAAGAGTCCAGAAGGACAAAGGCTGGGAAATCCGGTGGCTCTGACTCGCACGGATCATGGCGCCTGCGTATATAAAGCAACAGCTATGCTCCTTGCACGCGCTTGCTCCTGAACTCCATCCCCCATATTCAATCTCTTCCTGTGTTCATCCTATTAAATACCATGGACAACGAAATAGGCGCCACTTATGGTTACAAACAGACACTTCGTGGCTCTAGTGACATATCGATTTTGACGCATCGAGGTACGTTATTTGGCTCTGTATGCTTATACAAACCGTACTATAACTCCGATTTGAGGAGTAGGCGAGGACCCAAACACCTCGCGCGAGAGCGATCCTAGCAAATGGAAGGATGACCTTCGGCCCCTTCATAGTGCCTCAAGCCCGATAGTGGGAGAGTCCAGATCTCACTGTCCACCGACAGGTGTAGATAGGTGTGACCGTGAAGCACAGTCACTCTTCCTTCGTGTACGTTTGTTATTGTTCTCCGTGAGGACATCTCTTCTGACCAGTGTGTGCCAAAACATGCCCTCCATATCATACTCCCGTAGTCTATTCTGCTATGCATGCTAGCGGCAACGCTTAGTGCCCAATATCCCGCGCGACAAGCGGTTGTTCTGCAAGCGCATACAGAGCACCGAGGCACTACGCAACAAAGTACTCCAGAACACGATCACGTCTCCTCTCACTTGGAGTCACCTGTCCTCATCTCCATCGCGCAAACACTCTTCACCGGTAGCATCATCCTGAGTGGGACAGCCGTTGTCATGGCCACTCTCGTGTCAGCGAAGATCAACACAGGCGGCGAATCACCGAATGAGCACAGGCGTGTGTCCCTCGTACATTACGGCCGAATGAGCTCCAGGCTTGCCGCCATACTCAACTTGTTCGCCTTCCTGCTGAGCATCGGAGTTGAACCAGTTCAGCGCGACATGTTGACCGTAGCTCAGCTCGTAGCAAGACTGGCTGCGTCTTTTATCCTCACTGTCTAATCCATGGAGAGACTGGAGAAAAAGGGAGTTTTTGAGGATCAACGGACTTCTGTCTTGTTCGTAGTCTTCAAGGTATACGGTACATTTAATTGAGGATTGTACATTTTATGCATTGTAGCGGAAGTTCGGTGCTCGGTCCGCCAAGTCGGATGTATCGACGAGTGCATCCGGGTGTACCTTGCCGTATACACGATCTCGACGCGAGTTCTCCCTTAAGTAGTGTACCTGAGGGATATTCGTGAGCATGGACGAGGATGGTAGGCTGTGGCTATGCTTACATAGAGAATCGCCGCGCATATAGCTGCTAAGAACTCCAGGGCGCACAACACTGCAAAGTCCTTCCTAGAGTGGAGTGTCAGCGATGATGACCTCGTGAGATAAGAGCTCCGTACTCGTAGTGTGGACCATCAGTCTTAGGAAAGAGATGGGATCCAAGCACGCTACCACATTGCCCGATAGCCATGTACAGAGGTGTTCCCGCCGCACGCTTCGTCTCTGATCCCAGGTTGTGTGCGTCTGTCCATGTTTAAGCGCACTTCTCTCTCGGGGTGCATGAGTTGTACATACACCATGCAATCATGATCCCAATGACTGTATACGTCCCGGCGACAATGCAGAACACCGCGAAGTATCGAACGTGCGCGTTATCATGTACAGTGAGGAGTATCCTATAGGGGCGTCAGATCTCTTATACTCCTTCGGATGGGAGGCGCCTTCCTTACAGATAGCCGATTGCACCGATACAGGCGTACAAGCATACGAACGGGCCGCGTAGCTGGATGCGATCCGATAACCAAGATGAACCTGTTAACACCACAGCTGTAACAGCATATCTGGCTCCAGGGTCAGGCTGGATATCAATCGCAACATCGCCACTTGCTTACGGTGGCACTGTCATCAAGTTCGCCCTTGCGTCGGCTAATACACAGAGCGTGGATGAGCAATTCATGTTTCAAAGGATGAACGGACATGTGCAGCGACATACTGAAGTTCAAAGTCGTCAAGATGGTGGGTAAGAAGGCGGAGATACTTGCGAGAGCAGCGTTAGCCGCAAAGTAGATGACGCCTCCCATGTAGATGCGCCAGTCGCAGAATGCAGCCACGACATGCCGCCTTAGAATACCGTAGCCATTGTCTCCGCTCGTCCCGCGATTGCGACGCGCGAGTGCGATCTTCCGTTCCTCCTCGTTGAAGAATGTGGTAGACTCCGGACGGTTTGGAAGCAGCGTGATCGCCACGAAGCCTAGCAGAACGGCCGGGATTCCCTCGATGATGAAGAGCAGCCGCCACTCGGCGACAGAGGAGTCGATGTGTGCAACACCATATGCGATAAGTCCGCCGAAAGCGCCTGCGACGGCCGCAAATCCGAACCAGTAAGCCAATCGCAGACCGATCTCATGCTTCGTGTAGAAGAACGAGAAGTACAATGGGATTCCCGGGCCGACTGGATGGACGTCAGTATCCGTGTCATATCGGAGAGCTTGCAATCATGGAACCTACACATCGCCTCGAAGACCCCCAAGAATAGGCGACAAACCATCAAGCCAGCGAAGTTGAATCCCGTGGACTGCGCAATTGTGGTCAGGCTGTGATGCGGGGCCACACATTACGGCATGCTCACCATCAGCGTCGAACTGACCCCCCAACCGATGGCAGAGACACCCAGGTACAAGCGCGGTGGGAAGAGTTTAGCCAGCAGAGTGGCAGGCACCTGGCAGAGAACCTGACAGATGGGACGGTGAGCGCTATGCGCTGACGGAAATTGGATGAAACGCGCACGTATGAGAAGTAGAAGACGGACGCTGTTCCCAAGTCAGCCAGTCGTACACTGAAGAGAAGAGGGATGTGCGCACTGATCCAGTTGAATAGTGCGCCTGTCGGGTCACCTCCTAAGACGGCATCGATGCTCTGCGGCATGGTACGCGCATTGCCGATGTTCGACCTATCCAAATCTGCATCGCTTGCGAGTCAGTAGTGATCACGGTCGCGCGAACGCTACCGAACGTACATGCGACAAGGTACATGAGGCAGGCTATTGGCAGGATGCGTAGGTCCAGTCTGCGCACTAATGCCTTTTCCGCCTTGATGTCTATACTGCTCTCCGAGGCAGCGTCCTCGTAGTGCTCTTCCACTGCGCGAGACTCCCTCGCGAGCTTTTCTTCGTCCTGGAGCTCATCCGTCTTTTCTGGGTCGGTAGAAGTCATGGTCGCGGCAGATACGCAGGTGGAGAAGCGTCCCGGAGCGCAGGGTCGTCGAGCTCGAGGCAACAGCGAAGGAGGAGAGAAGCTGCGGGGCGCCAACACGGCGTCCCGTGAGGACTATATACAGTGGAGTACTTTCATCTGTCTGCCTGTAAAGCAGACTTTGCGCGCCGTAAGCGCTTCCGCGAGCCCTGCACCAACGTGCTGATGGCGGATGTCTGGAAGCAATGGTAATGGGTCAGGCTGGTCAACGCTGTCTCAACGGACGGGTAAACACTTGCGATCATGGGAGCCGCCATCCCGAATAGGTCACTTCACACATCTGGAACTGGGGATAAACTTGTCCAAGAATGCGCGGGGGGTTGCAATGCTATCACGTATGGCAAGAGCTTTGACATGATATGGAATAGTATGGGGAGGCCATGGTCGCACGGCGCCCAAGGAAGGGTATGAATTGCCAATGGGGATATTCCCATCAGCGTCGGATTTAGGTATACGCCTGAGATTCCGTCGACGTCTTGCCGTCTGCCGTGTACTTGGACCGCATTCCAGTGAGCTACTCGTGCAATATGGGCCGACGCCATGAAGGTAGAAAGAGCGCGACAAGGTGCGGTTCATGTTTTGTGCCTTCCAACGGGCTTTGCCGAGATCTGAAGATCAAACCGCAGTAGTGGCTTGGCGGTGAACGTCCACCAGTAGGGTCTCGTGGTACGACGTATTCATACTTGCACGGCTCCGTTGAGACAAATATCATATGCATTGGAACGGGCTATGTCTAGTACTCAGGGGATGTAGCGAAAATCCGGCGCCTTGTCTGCCAGCTCGGACGTATCGACGAATGCGTCGGGGTGCACCTTGCCGTAGACGCGATCCCGCCGTGCGTTCTCTCGCTTATAATAGACCTAGTTAACAATCATCAGGATAAAGCATGATCGATGGGAGTAAGCTCTCACAACTAAAACGGCCGCACAGATGGCGGCCAGGAACTCGAGAGCACACAAGACTGCGAAGTCCTTCCTAGGATGAAGCTTCAGCCCCCACGAGAAGGAAAGACGACGGTAAGGATGGACATACTCATAGAGAGGACCGTCAGCTTTGGGGAAGAGATGAGAGCCGAGGACGCTTCCACACTGGCCGATGCCTTGGTAGATGGGACTACCGGTGGCGAGCTTCGTCTCCGAACCCAAGTTGTGAGCATCTGCTCAACAGTCGGTCAACCACTGGTCTTTCATCAAACACAAGTGGAACGCACACCAAGATATCGTGATGCCGATGACAGTGTACGTGCCAATGACGATGCAGAACACAGCGAAATATCTCACGTGCGGGTTATCGTGCACGATGAGCAAGATACTGCAACACTTCCTCAGCCACGTCGTAAACGAGTGGAAGTCACTCACAGATAGCCTATGCCACCTATAGCTGCATACAAGCAGACAAATGGACCGCGTAGTTGTATGCGGTCTGAGATCCAAGCCGTACCAGTCAATACTACGGCCGTGGCTGCATACCTTTGTGTCTTCACGTCAGCTTGTCATGTCGAAAGGTTACAAGGTTGCGAGCTCACGGTGGCACCGTCATCAAGTTTGCCTTCGCATCGGCTATACAAGAAGTTATAAGTAAAAATCTGGTTGGAATGACAATCATATGGAGTGGAAATACGCACTGTAGTTGAGCGTCGTCAGAATGGTAGGCAAGAAGGCGGAGATGCTAGCGACAACAGCATTGGCGGAGAAGTAGATGACGCCTCCGGCGTAGATGCGCCAATCAGAGAAGGCAGAGACGATGTGACGACGCTGCAGCTTGTAGCCAGAATCCCCACTGGTGCCACGGTTGCGACGCGCGAGCGCGAGTTCTCGCTCCTTTTCATTGAAGAAACCGGTTGATTCCGGCCGACCGGGTAGGAATTTCAGGGCAACGAAGCCGATGACCATGGCAGGAACACCCTCGATAATGAATAGTAAGCGCCACTGAGAGATCGCTGTGTTTGTATGAGCGACACCGAAGGCGATGAGCCCGCCAAAGGCGCCCGCGACGGCAGCAAATCCGAACCAATAGGCCATGCGGAGGCCAATCTCGTGCTTGGTGTAAAAGTACGAGAAGTATAGGGGCATACCGGGTCCGACTACCGGTGACATCAGTACATGATGCGCAAGACCTGATGCAAAGTGCGTACACATAGCTTCGAAGGCTCCTAGGAATAGACGACAGACCATTAAACCGCCGAAGTTGAATCCTGTGGCCTGCCAACGACATCAGTCTCAGTGGAAGTCGCTGATGCGGAACTCACCATGAGGGTCGAACACAACCCGAACCCGATGGAGGAAACTCCGAGGTAGAGATTGGGCGGAAAGAGCTTCGCGAGGAGGGTTGCGGGCAATTGGTAAAGTATCTGAAAGGAGAGCGTGAGCTACGTGTGAGAGTACGCCCGAGAAGACAGCTGCGCATACATATGAGAAAAAGAAGATTGAAGCTGTTGACGCAGTGTGAGCTTGGGCGACGAACTTGAGCGTTAGATACTCACTGATCCAATTGAAAAGCGCGCCAGTCGGGTCCCCGCCCAAAACCTCTTCAATGCCTTGCGGAAGGGTCCTAGAGTTCCCGATGTTGCTTCTGTCCAGGTCTGGGTGAAGACGTGTCAATGACTGGAAACTAGGCAGTGTGAAGTTACTTGCAGGCCGCTAGATACATCAAACAAAGGATGGGAAGTATGCGCATGTCCAACTTGCGAACCAGCGCCTTTTCCGCCTTGACATCGAGGCTGACGTCCGAGACAGCGTCTTCAGTGTTCTCGTACTGCTCTACGACCGCCAGATCATCGAGCCTCTCCGCATTTGAGTCAACCAGGCTCTTGAACTTCTCCGATCCTGTCGAGGGCATGATTCACTAATCCTCGAGCAAACGCGTCCGTGTCCACTGTCGTGCAGAGGGAGATCGTTGTGTGGCGCCGAGATGGGATCGCCTGAGGCTATATAGGTTCCATTGGTTCACTGGGAGTGGCCAAAAGAGACTAGCAAGCTTCACGCAACCTAGGCGGTCTTGCAGAGCTAATATTGTGCCCTGACGCTGGGACTTTCGAACCCATCGTAGTGGATTGAGTTGGATACACTGGTCATTAGCCCGGTCAGCAGTGTGCAGATACTCGCAATCATGAGAGCCACAGACCCAAAATAGCGCTGTCGGACGCTTCTGCGGCGGTGGCGTGGTATAACAAGGCGCTCGAAGCGTCATATTGCGGAAGACCGCGGTCGCGCAGGCGCCGCCATCGTTCAGAGGAGGACGAGAGACAGATGGTGTACACTGAGCATTCATGCTAGAGAAGGACGATCAGGTCTATTACTAAACCAACTGCAGGCCAAGTCGTTGATATGTCCCAGCAATATGCGAGGCTTGTCACTCTATATATTCAGTCATAATCGACATGCATGGCAGGAAGAACCAAGTTCAGATGACCGAGAGCGGGTGAAATGACGACCGGAATTTGCCGTGATGGCCGGCATTTTCCAAGTTCGGCAGGCAACGGCCGCCTCGGCTTGCCTTTTGACCTCCACTGAGCATGTATGTGTTCCTCCTCAAGGGCGCGGCCATGGTGTCCCGTGCATGCGTTGGTGATGGCATGAACAGACGATCGGTTAAGCCGGCCTTACAAAGCACCTTCTTAGTGCCTATCCCCAGACTTTTCTGCTTAACTCCGTAGCTGAAGACGGACTTTGGATGTGTTACTCAGCCGTGCAGGTCTATTTCCGTCGGAGAAAACGTCTGGGAACGTTGATATAGCGCCATGGCGCTGCAGCTGCACTCTGGTCATTGTCCTATCGACGTTCCGGCTAGGGACGAAGATGCACACCTCTACACATGGAACGGAATGTCCGGCGGTATATAAGAGAGGACCGCGTGCTCTCAACTCTCGACATCGCCGCGCTCCTCACAGATTCACCCATTCTCTACGCCAATGTCCTCCGAGCCCACTCTCTTCAAGCCCATCAAGGTAGGGGACCTTGACCTCGCACATCGCGTAGTCTTTGCGCCCCTCACTCGTTTCCGCGCCAATCCGGAAGACCGCACTGCTACAGACCTCTTTGTTGAATACTACTCTCAACGTGCGCACACACCCGGCACGTTGCTGATCACCGAGTCCATATTCGTGGCGCCCCAGTTGGCCGGTTACCCTGTCATGCCAGGATTGTGGACAGAGGCCCACCTGCAGAGTTGGAAGAAGGTATGGACGTCCAATCCACCATGTTTCAATCCACTCACGCCAATGGAACCCGCCTTGTAGGTTGTTGACGCTGTCCACGCTAAGGGGGGCAAGATCGCTGTTCAGGTTGCCGGCCTCGCCGGTGTATCTTCAACGGAGTACCTGCAAAGCGTGGGCCAGGAGCATCTAGGAGTTTCCGATTCGTCGGCCCTCTCACCCGAGGTGCATCCCCGCGCGCTCACCGTACCCGAGATCAAGGAGTTCGTTCAGCTCTATGCGCGCGCAGCTAAAGCTGGCATCGAGCAAGCTGGCTTTGATGCGGTATGTCTCACGTCGAGGGCACACCTTCAAGCGAGCTGACCACAGACGCACAGGTCGAGATTCATGCATGCAATGGTGATCTGAACGAAGAGTTCCTCTCGACGACATGGAACAAGCGCACCGACGAATACGGTGGCTCTCCCGAGAATCGCTCCCGTTTCTTACTTGAAGTCGTCGACGCTACCATTGCAGCTGTCGGTGCTGGTAAAGTTGGCGTGCGCATTGGTCCTTTTTCTCCCTTCCAAAGTACGTTTCTGGACCAGCCTAACTTGTCGGGTATCACGGTACTGATGAAGTTGCAGACATGCGCATGCCGGAGGAAGATATCGTGGCTACGTACACATACCTCGTCAAGGCCCTGCACGACAGGAAGATTGCCTACCTGCATGTAATTCAGCCACGTATCTCAGCCAGCGATGACACGGAGATCGGCGCAAATGACAGTGACGACTTCGTACGCGCACTCTGGAGCGACCTCCCTTACATCACTGCGGGAGGCTTCACCCGCGCGACGGCGATCGCACGCGCCGAAACGTACAAGAACGAGCTTATATGCTTTGGTCGGCTCTTCATCTCGAACGTGAGCTCTCTCCTGAAGATTCCCATGCTCGATGAAACTCATCCTTCGCGATAGCCGGATCTGGTAGAGAAGCTCAAGAAGGGCCTGCAGCTCACGCCTTACGACCGGGACACATTCTACTCGCCAGGCCCAAAGGGGTACACAGACTATCCATTCGCGTAGGCTTTGCAGCTAGATCCGTGAACTGCCTTGTCGTGTCGGACTTGTAGAGTTGGATATCAGGACGAACTGGAGAACGAATAGATCCCCTCGCACTAGACCGTAGAGGTGATTGCGGTGCCAGGGGCGCCAATCACTGTTAAAGAGATGAATGTAGAGTTATAGATTGTACATGCACTGTGATTCGTTCTTCTGTCTGTCCCACTCGGTGTACAGCTACTTGTGGAATGTGATCTCCCAAGTCCTCACGCACGCATCGGCACCCGATGCCGCGAGTACCTTGCCATCTTTCAACCAGAACACTGTGTTCGCCCCTCCAGGGACAGCGTTCTTAACAGCAATGTTCTTCATCGGAGCCGCGACACTCCAGACGTAGACATGCGTGTCGAGGGAGCCACTAGCGCAGTGTGTGCCATCCGGTGTCCAATGAAGCGACAGTACACGAGCGTTGTGGAAGGACCAACGTGCGGTTATCATCGAAAGGGCTATTGCGTCGTATAGAACGATCTTTCCACTCGACTGCGACATCTTGATCAGAGCGCGCCCATAGAGTATGAGTGGATACACGTACATCGCCCGCGGCGAGCTTACTTCCGTCCGGCGAGAACGCAAGCGCGCTCACCGCACCCTTGTTGTTGGTCAAGATACCCGCTTCGCTGAAGACCTTTCCGTCCCACTTGTACACAGTGACCTTTGAGTCATCGGTACCAACAGCAACGAGGGAGCCAGAAGCTGCGATGGATGTCGGTGCGGCCTTTGGCTTAAGCTCTGCCACCTTCTGGTTGGCGCGAACTGCCTCAACACCATTTGCCTCAGCGACAAAGACGGTGCCGTCTTGGGCAGCCGCGATTGCTCGTGGCTGTGAGGCAGTCGAGAACGATGCCGGTCTAGTGAACCCCAAGGTATCAGTCTACCTATCACTGTCTCACGGGACAGTCACGGTACTCACACAAACTCGGCTGCGGAGATCTCGCGCACAGTATCATCGTACGCGGCGGAAAAGACCTTGTCCGTGCCCTGAACGGCCAGACCGGAGACAAGCGTCTTATGCCCAGTGCCAGAGATTGGTGCCGCATCGCCTGCTGCGTCGTACGAGAGGATGCGACCATCCGCCGTGCCGACCACGAAGGTATCGCTAGTCAGCGGCGCTGCCGCTGTGACGCTCTTTTGTGGGGCCTACCACGCCTAGATAAGTATGCAGATACGTACATTAGGTGTAGGTCAACGTACATAGAGAACCTTCGCGGGCTTGTCGCCTGCACGGGTGTCAAAGACGTTCAGGTCGCCGGACATAGCGAGCGACACGACGGTAGTCGGTGCGCTCCAGACAGCGCCGACCTGCTGGTGGTCCACCGCGGTACCAAGTGTATACGCAGTGGTTGCCTGCTTAGTCTCAATGTCCCCTACGTAGGAAAGTCGGATCAGCATAGCGAACAGCATCATCCACATGAAACGCACAAAGCTTCACAGTGCGGTCAGCCGACGCCGTGGCGATCGCCTTACTATCCGGACTCCAGCTAAGGCCGAACTGAGCGTAATCAGTACGATGTCGCTTATAGAGCTACATACTTACGACGCTACCCGTGTGCGACGCGCCGAAGTCACCGAGGACGTCACCCTCCTTCCCATCGTATAGGAAGATCTTCCCGTCCGAGCCAACGCTGGCGAAGTGATCTCCAGAAGGCGCGTATCGCACGTCTTGTACGAACTTGGTGTGTGTGGCGATGTTCTTTGCGGTGGTAGGTCAGCCTCGATACTTTCATCCACACCTTAGCATTGAACGCACCTTGACATACTTGAACGGAACGCCTTGGTGGAAGACGACGAGGTTGTCGTCACCAGCGGTTGCAGCGCGGAACGGCCGTTGAGCACGAATAGACACGGCGTTGATAGCCTTCGAGTGGCCGATGATCTCTCCCGTACTTGTTCCCGTGTCAAACATGAACGCATGTCCGAATCTGGAAGCGCAATGCGTGAGTACGGAGCCACTCGACGATCTCACAGTATATGGCGCACTTGTCCTTTCCGTCTCCAACGGCGATGATACGCTTGCTCTCTCCGTCCCACTCGAGGTCGTTGCTATCCTAGGATCAGTACTCATTGGGCTAGTGGCGATGCAGTGCATACTCACACGCGTCCAGAGAGAGCCTTGTACTCGCCCTTCAGACTTTGGTCTTCTCCCACTGTGTCCCAGATCCGTACTTAGGGTCCGTTTCAGTAGGTGGAAGGCATGAATACGGATGATGCACACACCAGTCCCCGTGATATCGGCAGATGCACAGTAGTATCCAGTCGGAGACACCCGAGCAACGGTAGTTGGGTGGACATGTCCGGAGTATGCGATGCCAAGGCCAGGGTTCTAACCGGCAGAAGGGAATAAGCATGAGCTTTATGCTTCTTGAACAGCACGACATACGCTGATATCCCTGATCTGAGGTCTGGTCAGCTCTCGCCTCGAGATCATCAGGTAAAGCGCGTACAAAGATGGACTTGCCGGATGCGTAGACTATCTTTTCCTTGCTAGCACTGATGTGTGTAGCAATGCCGCGGGTAGTGTTGGGTGCAGCCGGATACAAAGCAGCTTTCTTATAGGACATGGTGGGCGATGGCGAAGGCAGCGCAGCCTCGCGGTCACAGCAACGGCCTCGAACACGGTGATAAGATCATTATTAGATTAGATGTAGTGATGTCATGTTCAACTTCGAGGCGATAGAGAATCAAGCTAGAAAACTAGTATACATGGAAAGCAGATAGCAGGAAAACTATATAGCACTACACGTCTACTCGACGTCAGCTGGACGCTTGTCACCGTAGTTCATGAACGGATCCTTCCTCAGCGCGTCACCATGCGACGAGAGGCTCTTCGTCGGCTTCGCCTTCATAACGCTATCCGGCGCCTGCGCAGCTCTCGATGAAGGCGTTGTCGGCTGTGATTTGTCCATCAGTGCATCATCACAGACACTCGGACGACAGCTACATACCTCATCTCTGAACGGCGTGAACTTCGAACTTGGGGTTGCTGGTACCTCTGGCTCATCGCGGAACGGTGCAAAGCCGCCTTTCGCGGGTGGCTTAGCTGGGGGTGCCGCTTCCGGCGTTGAGTCGCGGAAGACGGGTATCTTGCTGCCACCACCAGAAACAGTACGTTGTTTCAGCTTGGTGCCACCCATCTTCGCTACGCCGGGGACGTTCTCCTTGACCCGAGTCTTTCGGCCACCGAGTTCATCCCAAGGGGTACGGCCATCCTCGGCAGCCGCAGCCGCTTCATCTCCGCTTGGATCAACGAAGATCTGCACGCGCGCGTTTGGACGAGGCGCCGTACTCGAACTTGCAATGGCGTTGGAACCTGAAGATGCGACGGCGGGAGTGCGCTTCGTAGTCTTAGCCGTACTGGACTCTCCGAGAACTTTGCGCGCGCCAGCCGTGGCAATTGCGCGCGGCGGGCTTGGAGGGCGTGCAGGTGCGGTGGCCGCAAGCATCATCCGCTTTTGGAATTCGCGATGCTTGGTGGTCAGACGCTCCGCAGGTTCCGCTCGACGATTAATGCCCAAGAGATAGGTCTCATCGGCAGCCTGCTTGCGGCCAGCGCGCTCGAGTACGGCTGCAAACTCTTCGTAGAGCAGCGCGTGGTTGACGCCGATGTCGTTCGCCAGTAAGAACCGGTAGATGACCGTGGGCTTCTCGACGAAGCTCGCGTACAGGACCCAGAGCTTCAAGTAGCGTATATCTCCGCGCCAAGCACCGTCGCGGTCATCTTTTAGAACACGCGTCGCCTCTTCGAGTAACTCGAGTAGACCAGACTCGGCGCTGTGGCCTTCGGGATAGTTCTCCACCGTCCAGTAGATGAATTCGCAGTAAGCAGCCAGTGGGTCGTCGTCTTCGTCTTCAAGTGCCACTTCTACGTTGATGCGTAGTCGGTTACGCGTAGACGCCAACTTGGCTTCGCGTTGTGCGTGTGGTGTCGAGAGGGCGGCTGCAAGCGTCGTGGCGCGTCGCCCCCTTGCGAGCGGTTGGATGTTCTCCTTGGCGGCTTCAATCAAGTCTCCGTCAACAATAATAGGTTCATCTTCAGTGAAGACGTCTGAGATGTGCACAGGCGTAGCCATGGCAGAAGGTGGTGGCAGGTCGTAACAGGTGGTGGCAGCAAGTCGCGGCGCTTCTCCAGGCGCGTGTTCAACTTTCCGACGCGTTGAACAAACGTGACCGCATTTCGCTGCAGAATTACCGCATTAGGAACGGTTTGCATCAAACTCTCAACGAAGCGCACACGGCGTTGGCGAACTTGTGTATTGCCATCATCTGGTCCCAACCCTCAACAATTGGCACTTCGAGCCCTGCGCCAGTTAAACAACATCTCCGGAGCGCAAGAGCTCTGAGAATGCTGAACATTGGGCCGGCGCTCATGCGCGCCTGTACACGTATTAGTGGCGCACTGCCTGGTCGATCCGGCCTTGCGCCGCAATGCCATCCTGTGAGAACGGTTTACCGCTTAGTTTCCGGAAACGCTCTCTTTACTTCCGAAAACTGCCATGGCATAATCAGACTTCCTGCACGAGGCTCAAGGCGGTGAACACGTCGTTGATCGAAATCGTCCTCCCTAGGATACCTGACCTCGCTGGGAACGACGCAGACCTGGCCCCTCCTACGAGTCGCTCTCACTTCACCCACCATGCCCCACCGAGCGCTCTTGCATATCCTTGCACGTTGGTTGTCCGCCATGCCTCGGGCACTTTGCCATTGGCGACCAATGGCGCGTTTGAAACTTCTCTTGTCGCTGCTGTGGAAGTGGATGGGCAAATCTTCAGCCGCGCATCCAGCCACGAGTGCATCTATCACGGATGAACCGCTACGCACGGGACGTATTGTTGTGACATCGTGCAGTGCCGTTCCAAGGTCGGCAGTGGCTAGTCAGACCTCCTTGCACGTTCCTGGGACGGGGCCAGGAAGTTCGACAGTGTCTCTGAATCTGAACGAGGGCCGCCCCTCATCGCCAGTGCACTCGACACGGAGTGGGAGGTCTTTTCGATCGGCACACACGGCCGACGAGATGCGAAGGCGGGCAATAGGGATCAACGCAGAGCAGCGTGAAGGGCGTGTGGCCACACGGCAATGGTCCAGAGTGGCGGCCACACCTTCGCCATCGGCATCTCGTTCGCACCTTCCATCTGCGCACAATTCTACCACAAGCTTGACTCCCTCATTGCATCCGTTGTCCTCTCTCAGTCGACCATCGACTCCGGTTTTAAGCCGGCCGAACACACCGTCAAGTGGCCTGCCTCCGAACAACACCCACCCTATACTAGGCAGCGGGTATGCCGTGGAGCGACCCGTCACTCCAGTCACCCCAGAGAACGGTCCAAATAGCTCCTCTCGCATCCGTTCTCCGAGTCTTGGGATCATTACCACAACCGCCATACAACCGCCATCCCCGACGACGAGCCCAAATTCATCACGACCACCTGCCACGGCCATCGGAGACGATCGATTTCTTGATCCCGGAGAGCCACACCCTTCAACGGGCTCTTCGGCCGCTAGTTCCCCCATGGTCTGTGGCGACATCGCTCGTGACTATCCCGACATTTCCCTACCATGCCCGAACCGGTATCTTCACCCAATAACACCACACGATCTGCCCCGTTACCGAAGCCGTGCTACTACGTGAGCTCTTTGGGTTCTATACATGCTCACCGTCTTGACTTCGTACCTAATTCAATAATAGTGTCAAGAAGAAGCAGGACCGTGTGCTGTGGCCGCTCACAACCACATTCCCCCAGTGAGTCGATGCATTCTACAGTCCGTGAAAAGACGTTTAACGTACGACATGAAGTAAGGTCTCAGAAGGAAAGGTACAAGTGGAATCACTGGGAGAATGGGTTCCGTCTACTCACGCGGAGGGATCTCTGTACTTTTTTCACTCGGGAAGAGTCAGTCCTGGTGCTGCTTCATGCCCGTGGGAAGTACTGACAATCCATTAGAGAATATGGACGAATGCTTACATGTATGAGGCGTTCTATCACGAGGAGGTCGAGGCATGCGCAGCCTACTTAGAGTACTGCCACGACGTTTTCACGGACGAAGGCTTTTCTCTACCAGCTGATTACGAGCTAGTGATTGACATCGGCCCGTCAAAATTTGACGACAATGATCTCTACTGGAACTACTACTACGTAGATCATGCTACTCGCACTATCTTCTGGCTTCAGCATTACATTCTATGGCGAGAACTGGATGCTGTCACGAGCGAACTATCCGCAGACCATCTAGGTGAGTTCGTGCCGTGAGTTAGATTCTGGCCGATGCTAACCGTCTTCCAGCACACAAATTCAGACAATTCTATTGGTAAGTAAATCGAATGCTTCCGCGTATTCATGTTCCGCAGATCCTCAATCACAAATCTAGGCGTCACGTCTTTTACTTTCCTGAGGGAAGGCGTAATTTGTGCACGTACTTTGGCGAGGACGTCTGGAGCCAGTTGCTCAGCTTTATGCATTTCACTGCTCTAGGTACGTTTTAATGTTACCAGATCACTGGTGAACATGTCATTGACGAGAAGCTACTCTCAGACACAATCCTCTCATCGAGAAGCACTAGTGTCTATTCAGATACGGAGCTGGGCCAAATGAGGAAGATGGTGAAGCTCGCGCGCGATCAATCCAGAGAGAACACATTGCTTTCCGAACAGTTGTCTGCCGTGGGTAGGTGTCTCGCTTCCGTGTCAACTTGTCTTCAACTTGTCTCACCATGATGCACAGCTCGTATACAGATGTTCTTTGGTAAGTCACAATGTGCGATAGCTAGAACCAGCAACTTTGGTTGACTCTTTGGCCAATATCAATAGCAGAGCAGCGGTTCCTGTACGCACACGGTCAACTGCACGTACGACTCAAGAACAATGTCAGAACACACCCCGATGAAGCTGGACGCAAACAGAAGTCCTGGCTGTTCAGCGCAATCGGATTGGCACTGTTTCGCGCGCCTCTCACTCTTCTCGAGGACCTGCATGATATCACGGGGGATAGCATGATGCAAGATGATGCTTGGCGAAAGTACTTCAAGCAGTTATTGGCTGACTGGGACAGATTGGTTCTGCAAGTATGCCACCCATCCACCATGTCCCCTCGATGATACTGACGCCACTCCAGGGTACTGTTATCTTGACCGCGAACGTATCCTTCTTGGCTATCCCCGATGTCATTCACTTTCCGGGGCAACCCAGCGGGGATGGGCCAAACTCCGCCATACAGCCATGGGACTGGGTCAGGCCTCAATTCACTTGGAGTGGGCTATTGTCCTATATCAGCACATTGCTAGCACTAGGAAGCGTCATGGCCGGGCTGTTCCTCGCCCGTCTAAATAGATCTCAAACTGAACACTATACTGACACGACTGACACAGGCGAATACATGTATCGCCATACGTCGTCCCTATTCGGTCTTGAACCAATTGCAATCATATACAGTCTACCTTATGCCCTGCTTATATGGGGGTATGTCCTTTCTTCAGCGGGTCATAGGGCGTATGTACTGACAGTCTTTGCTCAGGACTGGGTTCTTCCTAGCCGCTTTACTCAGTTTCACGTTCGACAGTACGGACACAGCAACTCGCAGCGTCGTAGGAGCGGGAGCAATGGTTGTGACAGGCTTGTTGCTCTGGAGTATATTGTCGGGGAAGCTCATGGTCCTTCAAAGGCTCTGGCCCTTGATCAAGAGATCCAATGCATACGAATGGATCGCGGACACAGTGGTTCCGCGTGGCGCCGATATCATATCGAGCTGTAGATGTACTGCCGTAGAGTGGTTGCTGTGAGTATCTCTGAGCATTTCCCCTCGAGGCTGTACTCACTTTTGATATTCCCACACCAGTTGCATTTCATCTCGTTTCAAACGAGCTACAATGACGAAAGTTAGGAAGACTACGGAACAGGACCACGAGGGATCGCGACGCGAGGCAGACAGTCTTGGAGTATGAGTCTAGGCAGCTTATATCCTCCGTCTAGGATGGCAAGTGGGCGGCCTCCGACGGCACGACTTTCGGTCTCCTTATCGGGGGCGCATTTCCAGCACGTTGTAGTCCGTCACCTTTTGTTAGCATAGCACACACCGCGTATATATTAGTCCAACCACTGCATTTAGCTCATAAGAACAGCCTCCTCCAGTCTGAATTCCTGTCATAATCGTGCCGACTAATATGTTGCTTTACTGTAAGCCGGACGCTACCTGCACGTGCGAATCGGCCACGAATGTGGGAAAGTTTTGCGGCGAGAGCCGCCGGGGCCGCTGACGGATTCGAGTTGGGACTCAACCCATCACCATCATCACCTCGTGCTATAACGAGTAGGAGTCGACTGGAGAGGACCACTAGGGAAAATAGCAGGAGCACGTTCTGCTACGATCTCGCTGGTCATGGATAGGCGCCCGTAACCGTCTGCACGCGTATTAGTGGCACACGATCTCCGGTCGAACCGGCCTTGCGCCGCGATGTCCTGTGAGAACGTTCAATCACTTGACGTTCGAACTTGTAATCCCAAGGACTGTGGCGGGCTATCAGACTTCCAACATGAGGCTGAAGGCGATGTAGACATCGCTGATCCCAAAGCGTCTCCTAGGGTGCATGACCTCTAGGAGGAGGACGTTTACCCCTTCCCTGCAATTCTCGGCTCTCACCTCATTCACCATGACCCTCAAAGCTCTCCTGCGATCTCTCTTGTATCGGCTGGCTGTCAAATTACGGGCGGTATGCCATTGGGACCCGAGGACCCGTCTGCGGTTCTGCTTATCGATCTTGTGGAAATGGTTTCCGAAACAACACCGGGCCACAGATGATGCGGCCGGCGACGTATTCACTCCTCAGAACCACGTCGAAGAGGTGTGCTGCAGTATGACCCCGCCGTCTGCGGCTGCTAGTCAGACATCACTACACGTCCCCGGCATCATCCTGGATAACCTGAATCCGCCTAGTCGCGCTTCATCACGCGCGGCGTCGATTCGAAGCGCTCGGACGTATCAGTCCGCTTATGACGATGAGGAGAGGCGGAGTCGAGCAAAAGCCATCACAGCCGAGCAGAGCCAGGAGATTGCAGTGGAGCGGCCTTGGACCAGAGTTGCAGTCTCGTCTTCGCGATCACGATCACGTTCTCGCGCTCCTTCGAAGGCACGTCCGTCTCGGTCAAACTCACCCACTCGGACACACTCGGAGCATTCCCTCAGCCGAACGTCTACTCGAGGAGATTGTAGGACTCGCCCAGCGACGCCATTGAATCAAGTTGCACACCCAGATCCGCAGGTTTCAACGGGCACGGGATATGGCGTCGAGCGACCGGTCACCCCGCCCGCTACGGTCTCCCCAACATTCACACGGGCTAGCCCTCCAACTCTCGAGATCACAACGATTGATGTTGAGCCGCCGTCTCCTACTAGTCCATCGTCGTCTAGGCAGCACGGGACGCCCATGGACCCTAATCTCTTGCGACCGGACTCACGACAATCGCACGAGTCTTCCGCAGGCACGTCGGCTGCTACCTCGCCAACCGCATTCAACGATAACCCTGGAGTGCTTCCCGAGCTGCCAGAAGCGCCGTCTCATCGGATCTGGAGCTGTATAACCCCAGAGGATCTGCCACGGTACAATAGACGGGCAACGACGTAGGTCATCCGTCCAAATTAGCGGACCTTACCAATCTGATCTGCATCAAACAGTGTCAAGAAGGCCAGGTATCATGAATTGCAGCCGCTCACGAGGGCGTTTCCACAGTAAGACACTTTCATCCAAACATAAGCAGTGACTGAACTCGCACGAAGCGAAGTTCCTAAACCAAAGATACAAGCCGAATCGATAGGAGGCTGGAAAGCGTTTACTCACGCTGAGGGCTCCCTATACTTTCTTCACCCAAGCAAGGTGAGCGCTGCAAGAGCATCGCGTGCAAACTCGCATTGTTGATGCGGGGTGCTGATGTTGGTTTAGAGAATCTGGACGAATGCATATATGTACGAACAGCTCTATTACCAGGAAGTCGAGGATTTCGTCGCCTTTCTTGAGGATGTTCAGCAATCCCTGATGGATAGCGGAATCCCCTTCCCCGTCGATTACGAGTTGGTCATCGAGATTACGAAGACTGAGGAGAACGAAGAAGAACTGCTGTGGCAGTATTACTACGTTGACCACGCGAATCGATCAATATTCTGGCTCCATAGGCGCATCTTGTGGAAAGAATTGGACACGGTGAAGGGCTGCTTCTCCCCGGATCATATACGTAAGTACATTCTTCCGTCGGTATCTCAAGTCCAGCATCAACAGATAGACAGATCTGAAGATTCAACAATTGTACTGGTAAGCCACCGTCGTTGTGTATCGAGCGCAAGGCCTGAGGAAGCAGGCATCACGTTTTCCACTTTCCGGAAGGCAGACCACACCTATCGACGCACTTTGATAAAGATGTCTGGAGCCGGCTTCTCTGCTTCATGGAATTTAATGCGCTGGGTAGGTTGTTTCTCCCAGTGTTCGGGTGATATAAGCGTGCTCATAGCCTTTAGATACCATAGTCTCGCCAAGGAGCACTAGCTTCTACTCTCATCTGGAGCTGATCCACATGAAAAACATGGTGAAGCTCGCCTACGACCAGTCCAAAGAACACGCTTTACTGCCGGACCTACTATCTGCTGTCGGTATGTAACTCAATTCCACGTAGACTCCTGTATAAGTGCATGTCTGATCACTTGCATCACATAGCACGCATACAGATGCTGATGGGTACATCGCATCATACTCCGCTCTTCGATCAAGACGCTTACAACTTTATTAGCCGAACAACGATTCCTTCACGCACATGGCCAGCCTTACGTGCGATTGAAGAATAACGATAGCATACACCCCGATTCCGACGGCTGCAGATCCAAATCATGGCTTTTCTATGTGATTGGCTTCACCTTATTCCGTGCTCCGTTCACCTTGCTCGAGGACCTGCACAATGTTACGGTAGACGGCATCGTGCAAGAGTTTGCCTGGAGAAGGTACTTCAAACGACTGTTAGAAGACTGGGACAAACTCGTTCTACAGGTTCGCATGGACCGTATTTCTGCTACCACCACCACTGTGATGACATCTTTGTAGGGCACTGTCATTCTGACCGCCAATGTATCGTTCCTCGCCATTCCAGATGTTATCCACTTTCCTGGTCAGCCCAGCGGTACCGGCGGAGCATCTGGCATTCAACCATGGGTCAGACCATTGTTCAACTGGAGTGCGCTGCTCTCGTATATTAGCACCCTTCTGGCCCTAGGAAGTGTAATGGCAGGTCTGCTCCTCGCTCGACTGAATCGGTCGCAAATCGAGCACTCGACAGACGCAGACGATGCGTGCAGATACCTCGAGCGCCATACATCGGTCATATTCGATCTCGAACCGATGGCAATCATCTATAGCTTGCCATATGCGCTGCTCTTATGGGGGTAAATAGTTTCTGTATCCATATTGGCCCCAGTCATTCAGCAAGCTTATCGACGTATACAGGGTCGGCTTCTTCCTGGCTGCTCTGCTGAGCTTCACCTTCGACAGTACAGACAAAGCGACTCGGGTTGTTGTCGGAGCAGGAGCTGTGCTTGTGACGGGGCTATTACTCTGGAGTATATTGTCCGGGAAGCTCATGATTCTGAACCGGATATGGCCATGGATCCAACAAACTGACGCGTACGAATGGTTCGAGGAGAGTATTCTTTCTGTTGCAAGAACTGCGACGAACTTTCGCAGTGTTGCCATCACGAACCTGCTGTAAGATCATGTTTGGTCTCTCGTCTGCAAACCAACTACTAACGCGTCGTGACAAGAACATTTTTACGTCGTCTGAAGCGAGCCACGAAGGGCAAAAGGGCAGTAAAAGACAGTCATGAGCAGGTGCAAGCCGGGTCTGATGCTACCAGAGTGTGAGCCGTCTGCAACCTCTACTGTATGTGGGCACATACTTACCTGCCTTGTAGGGGTAGAAGTACGGTATGACGTTGGTTGGTTGAGAAAGGCGGATGCTGGTGCCTTCGGCTTGTCCGCGTGCCCGTCGTTGCAGACGCGTTGTACTTCAGTTCATACATGCAGCACAGCTTTCATCGCATCTAGTCATACAGCCGCAGTCGATTCTCCGCAATGGTTTCCTTAAGGTTGAAACCGTCGTGGCACTGCCAGGCAATCTCGAGTGGGATGCACAGGAAGAATATACCCTCGATATGATCGGCTGTCATGAGCGTGGGACACTCGCTCGGCAAGAGCCGCGGCGGCGGGGGAGACTGTCTTCTGTTCTTGGGTTCAACACTGAACGTCGACGCCGAACCTTGCACGTCCTTCATCTTCGCTATCTGAAGACATGCATGAGGGCTTATGTGTCAATGGCGTACTCTGGCATGTTGATGGCTGTACGGACGTGGTGACCATAAGGCTTCGGCACACCTCATATGAGCCTCGAGGCACCAACTTCATCAGCCACGTCGGACAAGAAGCTAGGATGGCATGGCCTGTTCTCTCTTCTCCTGCGATCCTGTAACATGGTCCATCCGTCTATCTCTCCTTTCTGGCACATCTTTAGCCATCTATATCTGCGCTTAACGTCCCTCTTCAGAGCGTTGAAGCGAGGCTGCTACCCTTTTGATCGCCGACAAGCTATCCGCTCTGCTCTACTGGACCTGCGCCGCCGCATATTTTGTCAATCACCCACGCAAAACGAACCTCCTGCCAGTTTGAATGCCACATCGGATATTTCTTTCAGTGCTCTTCCGTCTTCTATCAGTCGGACATCATTACGTATCCCCGATGCAGAAGATGAGGTGCCGGGACTGCCTCCAGTCGAAACCCGTCCCCCATCACGAGCAGATTCCGTACAAACCGTGCAGTCATACAGATCTATCTATGGAGACGAAGAGATGAGGGTTCGTGCTAGGGCAATCAGCGCGAGTCAACGTGAAGAACGGCCCGTCATTCCGCAGTGGACGAGAGTGTCGGTTGCTTCGCGCCCTCAATCTCGTTTATCCAATCTTTCCGCCCATCCATCCCGTTTGAACTCTCCCATACACTCCTCACAGCCGTCTGGGCCCCCTCAATCCTCCGGTGGAAGCCATCCTGCGACACCGCTGAGTCCTCGCTCTATGCAAGGCTCGTATCTACGCCCCGAGGCCAGTTTCGCAGCAGATGAAGTCATCTCCGCACCAGCTGTCTCTTCGAGAGCATCCTCGCGAATCGGTGCTCCGACACTCGAAATCAATACGATTGATATACAGCCACCCTCACAATCGACGAGCCCAAACTCGTCCCAGAGACGAAGCAACATCCCCGACGGTGCCCATTATGATGGTCACTTCACTAGTACGCTGTCTCCTGCCAAAGGCACCGACACGGCTGTACTTCAGCCCCCAATCCAAGGCCGTGGCTCATCGCAGATACCCCCCTTACCTCCTGGTAGATGGCTCATGGAGATCACTCCGAAGGACCTACTGTGGTACACAAGACGGGCAACGACGTGAGTAAATATGACGTGCGTGAGTGCATATTCCCGTTCTGAACTCACCTACTTCAGCGAGAAGAGGCATCGGGATTACGAGGTTCCTCCGCTCACTACCACCTTCGAACAGTGGGTAGCTTGTCCGCTCCTACCCACCACCGCATACTGATGACAGTCGACCTCCCGTTCTCAAGCCGGGTTCCAGAAGGCAGAGAGCCCTCGGCTTCACTCGGGGCCTGGGTACCCTTCACTCATCCGGAGGGATCCTTGTACTTCCGTCATCCACAGAAGGTTTGTGTCATACTTCCGTTCCGTTCCGGTTCGTCAAACTGATCTTTGATCAGCGAGTTTGGACCAATGCTTATATGTTCGAGCGACTCTATCATGACGAGGTCGAGGAATGTGTTGCCTATCTTGAAGAATTCCAATATGCGCTCTTAGACCGTGGAGTGTCGCTTCCCGGCGATTGCGAACTGGTCATCGACATTGCAGCGACGATGATGTGCTAATGTGGTACTATTACTACGCCGACCATCGCTCTCGTTCCATCTTTTGGCTTCGACGGCGCATCCTATGGAAGGAGATAGAGGACGTGAAAGGCGCGTTTTCGCCTGATCATATCTGTGCGTACTTTGTCGTCTACGCAGTTAGGATGGGAATGTCTAATACAGAAGTACTAGACCACAAGGTTCAGCAGTTCTACTGGTATGAGCAGGCTCATCTTGACGACGGCAACCATCATCTCACTCCCACCAGGCATCACATCTTTCACTTCCCAGACGGTCGACATGATGTTGCCAAGTATTTCGGACCAAGCATATGGATGAGGCTTCTGGGGTGTATAGATTTTGATTGCTTGGGTGGGTGGCGCCGTACCATAACATTGACGGCCATGATCTAACTACCGCTCCATTGCGACAGACGGCATAGTCTCGCCCAGAAGTACCAGCCTGTTTGAGCCTGCGGAGTTGATGCAAATGAAGAAGATAGTCCAGCTCGCTCACCAACAGTCGTCCATCGATGACATACTTCCGGAGCAACTCTCCGCTGTGGGTACGTATCAATCAGTTTGCTGTCCATAGAGCCCTCTCAAAGAGACACCAAAAGCACGCATACAGATGTTGAGAGGTTAGTGACTGACCGTCTGAGCCAAGCACTTGAATCTGACACGCCAATCTTGGTAGCCGAACAGCGATTCATCAATGCGCACGGTCAACCCTTCGCACGGCTGGATAACACCGACAGCATCTACCCGGAAGCCGACGGTCGCAGGATAACGTGCTTCTTTCGAGCCATCAACCTGTTGCTCTTGCACGCTCCGTTCTCATTTCTCAAGGACCTGCATAGTGTCAGCGAAGACGATATCATCCTCGAATACGCTTGGCGAAGGTACTTTGCACGGTTACTGGATGACTGGGATCGGCTCGTCTTGCAGGTTCGTCCTTGCGGCGCGGCTTCCTTCTGTCGTCCCTACTCAACGAACTCTGCTTCCTCAGGGCGCTGTCGTGTTGACAGCAAACGTGTCCTTCCTCGCAATTCCCGACGTGATTCACTTCCCCGATCAGCCGAGTGGGACAGGCGGAGACTCGACTATACAAGCCTGGATCAAGCCCGAGTATACATGGAGTGCCACCCTTTCGTACATTAGCACGCTTTTGTCGCTTGGGAGCGTCATGTCAGGCTTGCTGCTGGCTCGACACAATCGTCCGCAGGTAGAGCATTCGACCGACGCGGCCGAAGCGAGTCGATACCTCGCACGCCGCCATTCGCACTTTTTTGGGCTTGAACCGATCGCTATCGTCTACAGTCTGCCGTATGCGCTCATGATTTGGGGGTGAGCGTGTCCATTCCTGAACGGCATTGGGCGCATCCACTGATATTGTTCTGCGTATAGAACTGGGTTCTTTCTCGCGGCCATCTTAAGTTTTACTTTCGACAGCACTGACATCGCAACGCGAAGCATTGTGGCTGTTGGCGCAAGCGTCGTTACGGGCCTGCTCTTCTGGAGCATTTGCTCAGGGAAGCTGATGCTCATGAACAAGATCTGGCTACCCCTCGCAAACACCCTCGTAGTAGAGTGTGTCATAGACGCAGTCCTGCACGTCTCCGGGGTAGCAGGGGAGAAGAAAAGAGCCTGCACTGAGAAACTGAGGTGCATACAACTTCTCTAGACACGTGACGAGTTCGACTGACCATCTACTCAGATCGGCAATTCTGTCCATGAAAAGGGGTAGTACAAGCAGAACGGACGGTCAAATCGAAGTAGAGAGTCAGGAGGCCGGTGCGCAGTCGGTCTGAGTAGGACATCCTTCAGAAGAAGATAGTATGTATGGCGCAGTAACAAGCAATCATATTCCAATACAATGCGTCCCTGCTGATTAGATCCTTCAAAAGCAAGCAAACGAGTATAATACAAACTTGAGATCCACTGTTCACGCTTTACATCCAAAATCCGATAGATAACATACTCAAGAAGGTACGTTCGCGGTACCTGCGACGTGGTCCGCGAGCTTTTCGAACTCTTCATCGTTCTCTACACCGTCCGCTGCCTCGCGTATGCGGGTGAGCGTGCTATCAACACTGCGCTTGCGCGTACTGGCGGCAATCATAGACGAGCGGCGGTAAAAGGGCGAGCTCGGTGGTACGCTGCTGCCAGGCGTCGATGGCGCGGAGTCAACATCGGACGATGACTCCGGCTCGGCTGCGGGCGGCAAACGCTCGTTTTCGATATCCAACTTTCGTCTGTTTTCGAACATCAGCACCACCACATTCCACCGCGAGAGGAGGTACGTACGCATCGTCGAAGTTCTGGATGGCATCTGTGAGTCCCTGCGCGCCAGAGGCAAGGGTGCCATATGGGAGCTTCGCTGAGCCGGATACGTTCTTGAGCTCGGATACACGCTCGGATTCCTCACTATTAGTGCAATCAGCCTCGACCGCGCTAAGAATGACACTGTTATCTACGTACCGGAGCACCGAGAAGACACGAGAGACACGGCCGACAGCCAAGATCTTATTACGTATGACGCGTCTTCGCTCCGAAGAAGCAGCCGCCGAGGCAGCAGCAGCGTGCTCCTCCTCGGTTTCCGCAAGCTCTTCCTGTGTGCATGTGTTGAGCACGGCCACCAGCATGTCCGTGACTGGATGCAACCATCAGCTACGACAGCAGTGCGGCCCAGACGTGCGTAGACGTACTCTTCTCGCCCACAAAAGGTAAACTCCACGAGAAAGCGTCCATGAAGTTGGGCAACCAGTACGGGTGTTGCGAGCAGTTGAACTGTCGGATGTTGAACGTGCCCTCGTATTTGACGACCGCAGCCTTGTTGTTGTAGACGTCGAGATAGTTTGGTGCGGAGAAGATGGTCATGAGGCATGGGAAGTTCGTCTTGGTCGCTTTGCGATACATGCGGTATCTGCCTGTATGTCAGTGGTGACAACTGTGCGGACACAATGACAGTACGTACCCTGCATCTTGAGCCTCATGTGCACGGATGACACACAAGAACTTATTGCGCTCCAAGAACTGGCACGTCGCCTGATAGGTGTAGAAGTAGGAGCAACCACGGACGTGATTGTGCACGAAGCTTTGGCCAGAGCGTTCGTCTCCAAAGTTCTCTATAGGGTCAGACCAGAGAAGATCACACATGAGACCTGATGTAGGTGGCTCGCGGAATCGGTTGAGCTATGGAAGACACCGCAATCAGGGCTAAATTGTGACTAGCGGTGCTAGGAGACGTACTTTGCGAATATCATCCAAAGTCTGGAGTTCCGGCGAGAGACCGCCATGTACGCAGAAGAACTGCTTGTGCATGATCGCAGCAAGAGGTAAGGCACAGAAAGACTCCATGCAGGCATCGTAGATGCGCTCTGAGTACTTTCGTCTACCTAGCAGATCATGAGCGTGACGCGCGCGAAAACGCACTATAATCCACGCACATTCTACGCGGAACGTGAAGTAGTCCGTCAGGTGGCGGCACTCATGATTGCCTCGTAGTAAGAAGAAGGTCTTCGGGTACCAGATCTTGAGCGTCCAAAGATATAAAACACACTAAAACCTGCTTCAGTGGTGGGATCGGGTACTGTGGCGCAGGACTGTACCTCGATAGAGAAGTATCCGCGGTCGACATAGTCCCCCAAGAAGAGATAACGTGTTGTGGCCGGGTCTCCGCCGATTTCGAAGAGCTTCATGAGATCAAACTTCGCCGATGGTTCAGCGTCTGTCGATCGTAGCACGATGCATGACGTACGTATTGTCCATGGATATCCCCGCAAACTACGAAACAGCTCACTTGAGACGCGCTTCAGAACGGCTAGCGTAGGTACACACCTGTCACCGGAGCCTCCACATTTAAGATGTTGTCTTCCGACTTCAGCACCTCAGTTGCCTTTTCGATGATATAAAGTGCTTGGTCCTCCGACAAACGACCCTGACGATAGAAGTGGTTCTTCAAGAACGCATGGTCGGGCTTGCTTGGGTCTTGCTTGGAGAAGAACTCGTCTTCCGTCGGGATGGACATGGCCGGCGCCTGAACCTGTGGAAATGGTCAGCTTATGAACAATACCCTACAATCAACTACACACCTCTTTACAGACGCGTTCTACGGTGCTGACGGTCTCGCCATTGGGCAGGGTGACCTGAGTGAAGTCACGCTCTGTGTCGGGAGCCTTCTCTTGGATCTGCTCGATGGCATTCTCGAGCTGCGATTTGGACGCCATGGAAGTTGTTGGTAGAGATCAACGAAGCCAGATAAGTCCAAAGTCCCGTGGCGGCGTGGCGCGGTGCGATGCAAATTCGCCGTCATGCGGCCGCCCTTTCCGTCGCTTTCATCGTGCTCATAGGGACAACCGGTAGAAGTATGAGTGTACGAAGATCGTCACAGGTAGTGCGGATCGATGAGCAAAGATACGAAGCGGTGCTCAACGCAGAGCGAGAAATATCCGCACGGGATCATCCGTCGGACCCGCCGCGTGCGCGCTCGTGGCTGCTCGTGGACGCCTCAAGCTTCAAATTCCCAGCTTGACCTGCAACATCGATGTTCGCATCTGTCTCCCTCTGCGGGACCGTCTGTCATCAACGCTACTTATGCTATCCATATCATTGTACCGTTTTGCGCTAGCTCCAACGTGATAATTCATAATACAGAACGTTCCGAGCCTCGGCCGCCCCGTGTTCACAGCAACAACAACGCTCACCATTTCCGGATACCACAGACCTGCCCGTAAAGCCCATCTAAATTGACCATGCTCGGTTCACCCGCTAGAAGAGTTTCTACGTATGAGCTCACGGCCACAGTCTATATACGCCCTGGCAGTGAATGAGCAACAGGCGACAGTTTCGACCATGGCCTTGTTCCAAAAGGATCTTCGGCCGCCTACGATGCGGAGCCGCTCGTCATCGTGTGAATACGAGGAGGACAAAGGTCAAGGACGTGCTCGGTCCTCGCTCGGCCCTCTGTGGCCTTTGGACGTTACAGATGCTCGCGATCAACGTATATAAAGCTTCAATGTTGCAAGCATCGGTTGGTCGCTACCACACTCGAACCTGCGTCGAGCTGCGATCATTCCGAAGATCCCTACCTTGCGCCACCTTGTATACCCCACATAGAGATAGAACATGCCGCGAGACTTTACATATCTCGACCTGGCCGGTGACTGGAAATCACTGATTGGCTCACGAGGTCGGTCGGGCATTTTCCCAACTCCGGCGTTCGATCAGTTGACGTTACCTTAGTGATTGACAACAACAATAAGCGTGGCGACTGCGAGCGTTATATAGCCGAGCCTTGTTCGCCCGCCGGCCCCTTCAGCGACCCGCCCAGCGCGGCCACTTTCACCTTCTTTCAGCCCGCCCTTTCAATCCCTTCAGACTCTTCAGATCCGATGGACTCGATGCCCGTCTCTTTTCCCAGCTTGCTCACGATGGACTTGATCACCGCGCCGCGCCCGGCATCGCCGACTGAGTCGGTCACGGACTCATCCGATAGCGACTACAGCCCGCCGCAAACCCCGGTCGATCTTGAGCCCATTCCATTCCTTACGCACGAAGACATCAACCTTGGCGACAAGCTACCGCCCCCGCTCCTTGAAACGCGCAGTCTGTCACACGACAACCATCTTGATACGTGCAGCGCGCCGCCTGACGACGAGCTATTCGCTCCCCCGCCGCCGGCATTCCCTATCCCGCCTGGACTCAATGCGACCAGCGCAGCATGGCTAGCGATGCTCTTCAGGCGCGAGGCCTACCTCTACCCGTCGCGCGTCGCGGAGACGACCGTATGCGTGTATGATCCGTCCTGGCACGAGGACTCGCTGCGCGGATACCCGCTCCCGCTCGTAACCGTGACCGGCTGCGCAGAGGACGCGGAGCAGTGGTTCGAGAACGCCGCTGAGTGCGACGAGGGCCCGTGCTGGGATCACCTCATGGCGCCCATGATTACCAACAACGGGCGTATGAGCCAGGAGGACGAGGAGCTCTACTACCCTTACCCCATGCCGGAGACCTCGTTCGAGTACGAGTATGTGTGCGACGATGATGATGTCGAGGAACCCGAAGTTCCCGACTGCACCGCGTACGAGGCGCGTTGGCGTGGGGCGTCCCTGCAGGAGCTTGAAGATGAGCTGGCGAAGCAGAAGGTCCTTGTGGAGATGCAGCGCGTCGGCGCAGATGGCATCTTCACGTATGTTCCGCAGAGAGTTGAAGGGAGGCGATGGCTGTGGAAGAACTTCTGGTGTGTTGCCATCTCTTTCGATCTCCTTGCGAATGATGCTGACTGCAGGTTCCGCAGACCTCCCTTTCGTTTATCGAACACCCTCATTTGTATCTGACCCTACGGACACTTACGTTGATATTTGTTCAACATGTACACTATCTTGCTCAACACTAAATCACTGGCACTGGGATGCCAGCGTATACGCACTACTCATTACGGTCAAGCTTGTGGTCGTCGCAGTCAGGTCAGGCTGTCCCAAGGATAAGATCCAGCGCGCGCAGCACGCTATTAGCAACGTCTCCACATCCCTCGCGGTGGAGGTGGACATGTCGAATAATGCGAGATTATCTACCCACGCCCTGGGTCTGGCTATCATTAGATGATAAGCAGAGAGACATATTGTCAGAGGTCACCTTGTGCGGAGTCGAGAGATATTATGGACTGAAGTCGCCGCATGAGGCGCGCCACAGGACCATCAAATGCTAGAAGCGGATTCGGCTATTTCCGATATGAGCAGTGATGCCGCCGGAGCGAGTCTTGCGCGTACAACCCACATTTCGTCTTGTACCACCATCTACGGTCGCATTTCACCTCCACCGTCGCATCTGTACTACTGTCGGTGTGAGGGCAACGAACATATTCGAGAGTCTGGCTCTCTTCACAGCCGACGTCCTGCTGAGCTGAACGCTGAAGTCGACCGAATGTCTTCAGGTTCTGAGGCTGAGAATGAGGTCTCAGCGGGCGTAAAGTCGCAAGACCGCAAGCGGCGCCGAACCAGTCAAGCCTGTGATATGTGTAAACAGCGCAAGTCCCGGTGCGAGAGATCGCCAAAAGGCGGCAAGTGCACACATTGCGCCGAATATAACCTGGATTGCTCCTACGTCAATGCTCAGAAGGTCAGCTGACTAATGCAGCTATGTCATCGTAAACATGCTTACGGAGTATCCCTCAAGAAATATCCTTCAGGGTGAGTCTATACGCGAAACGTCTCATGGAGTACGAGTGCCTGAAATGTTGGCAGTTACGTTGTGGCGCTGGAGACGAAGGTCAAGCAGCTCGAAGCACTGGTCGCAGAGCTCCGCCCAGGGGAAGACTTCTCGCACCGAGTAGGCAAACCCATCACGCGAAGAAACTGGATGCAACTCGGCGTCGCGGGCAACATCGATACAGCTTCTTCTTCCGACTCGTCGCCGCCTGATCTGCGACTACCTACTGTCGACCCGAGCTCGATGGATCCCAATGTCCAAGAGGAAACTTTCGACGCCGAACTCGACATTATCTCGAAACTCAAGGACCTGGTGATCGAACATAAGCGCATACATCTCGCCAACTTCTACGGTAGCTCTTCGAGTCAGCACCTCATTGCCAATGCGCTGGAACTACAAAATACCTCAGGACAAGCCCCTTCGATCAACATCCGCGTTCAATTCTTGAGATCCCTGCGGACGGATTTCTGGTGTGAACGGCCAGTAAGTTACAGTCTTGTAGCCTGTGAATCGATTCCCTGACAGGACCCGTCATAGTGGGAGCGGGTGTATGAGCGCAAGAGAACACCTGTGTATACCTTTCCCGATCACGACCTTCTCGCAAGGCTCGTGGGACTATACTTCGACAACATGAATGTCTATCTCCCCATACTGCACCGCCTAATCTTCGAGGACCAACTACGGCAGAGTCTTCATCTGCGAGACGCGGAGTTCGGGGCGGTTGTTCTTCTCGTATGCGCTATTGGCGCGCGCCTTTCTGATGATCCTCGTGTACTCACAGAAGGCACCGACGATTGGCACTCCGCTGGCTTCAAGTGGTTCTCTCAGATCATCCGGTTCGGTGATACCCTTGCACCATCCTTCAATGTTCATCAACTGCAGGCTGTAACGGTATGTTGCTATGGTGAACCAGGCGTAGATCACTGATGGCACAGTCTGCAGCTCGCCTGTATCTATCTGAAGGGACGGTCCGAGGTACCTGCGTGGACTCTGGCTGGTCTAGGTATCCGACTGGCTCAAAACATTGGATTGCATCGCAGGTCCGTGTATGGCGAAACTCCGACCGTCAGCGATGAACTGTTCAAACGATGTTTCTGGTAGCGTTCGCGCATCACACCTCCGTGGCAATGCAGTTGATGGTGTTTCATCTATAGGTCCCTCGTACTTCATGATCGGTGGCTCAGTGCGAATATGGGGCGCTCAACCGCCATATCCGAGGAAGACTTCGATGTCGAGCTGCCGATAGATTGCGATGATGAGTATTGGATGCCGGAGGATCCTGAGCTGGCATTCAAGCAACCAGAGGGCAAACCGTCGCGCGTCAGTGCATTCATCTGGATCATCAAGCTTTCCCACATCGTAAGCTCGTCTCTGCGCACAATTGTGAGTGGGCTATCAGCTCGGTTGCACCCGCGCAGCTGAAGTCTCTTGTCTGTATCCAGCATGCGGGCAAGAAAGCCAAACTGTTCCACGGGTTTGTAGGCGCTGCTTGGGAAGAGAAGGCAATCGCCTACCATGACGCCGCCCTGGACCGATGGGCTGAATCTCTACCGGAACACTGTAGGCACAGCACTACCTCGTTCACAGAACGCACAGCTCATATCCAGGATAGTGATGTGGGACCCTGAAGCTAGTGATCGCCTACGACTATTACAGTCCGCGTTTGTGAACTCCCAATACCATGAACTCAGGATCATAATTCATCGCCCATTCATCTCCATTCGAAGAGCAAATACGCTGCCATATCCATCTCTCGCCATTTGCTTGAATGCGGCAAGAAACTGTGCTCGCATCTTCGATGTGGCACACAAGCGCTATCCCATGGGTCTACCTCTATCCTGGACCGTAAGCGCGCCCCATTTCATCTAATGCTCGTACTTGACACAATATATAGTGTGCGTTTGCTGCGGGCGTCATACTGCTATATCAAGTGGTGCTTGCAAGGAGATCACGAGCGGGTGTGTCTGAGGAGGATCTAGAGGATGCACGAAGATGTTTGAAGTTCCTAACGGATATGGAGGCTCGCTCTCTCTCAGCCGGGCGGGTCCGGTGTGTTACATCTTCACCTTTGCGCCCCTACATAGCTGAAGTTCCACGCTAGTGACATACTAGGGTTGATGTCCTGCCTCGGAACTGGCGCCGCTTCCGGCCTACGCCACCACGACACACCTTCTAATAACACCACGAGCAGGAAACGCGCTCGTGAAACGGACCACAACCCTCTCGAAGCGCCGGACGCAAGTGCTCACACGCAGGTTGATTCTGCCTATATCAATCGATCGCGACATACAGTCAGAGAGTCACCAGCCCAAGACACCAGCGATGCTCATCATACATATCACCTACTGAACAATGACGTCGCTGCTGCAACTGCATACGCGACGGTGCCGGCATTCAATCAAACGGACTGGTCGCACCCTCCTTTCCCATCTGCCCTGGTCGACCAGGTAGACTTTGCGCCTGACCTCGAGCCATTCGGGGACGGCGCGACGTTGGCCGCACTATTCGGATATCCTGCGCCCGCGAGCGATCTTTCGAATGAGAGGACTCCGTCTATCGATCCCTGGGCATTCGCATTGGGCTCTGCGGGGCTTCCTGTCCAACCTTCGCTGAGTGATACGCAGGCAGACATAATGAACTTGTTCGGCAATAACGGCATCATTGACCCGCACACATCTAGGTGAGAGATATATGTGTCGCATCTTCGATGTCTGTTCGCTAACAAGCGATCCTCAGCGACGTTGGCACCGCGGATTGGGACTGGCAAAGCCTATTGGATGGGACGACTTCAATTCCTAACTATGACAGTGCCAGCAGGCCATCTTTCTAAGCGATGTATCATCATTTCTATTGGCAGATCTATACGTATACCCATTCAAACCAGTACAATCAGAATACAATATTGCGGGACACATCCCTTCCCGCCTTAATACAGTCCCCAACACTGACGCCAGCCACACCCGCGCCGATAACAAACAGCCTCCCATCTGAGCGCTGGTATGCCACTTCACGCATCTCGCGCATGCGTTCTAAGTGTCCTACGGTGTATGTTGGGATGCCGCCGATATGGACGTGCAATTTGGTTAACACTGGATGGGGGATGGTCGTCCCCAGACGGCTACTGATCTGTCCCAGAACAGCATCGAGTAGTGGAGGCTGCTTGCTATCCACGCCATAGGGACCCCCGATCATCGCGGTGAGTTTGATAAAGGAGGGCTTGTCAGGCGTAGCGCCAGCTGAATGAAATCGATCTTGAGCAGCAAGACTGGCGGTGTCGAATACGACACCGAGCAACCCCGGATTTGACGCAGTCAACGTCGTGGGATAGCCATTGGGTGGGCGCGGGATGAGAAAACCGAAGCCTGGTGGGTGTATCGATTTGGAGGCTCCCGAGGTTGAGAAGACCAGATTCATCACCGCCACGCTTTGGAGAGGGTTAGCCGTAAGGTGTGGGAGCTGTAGCTCAGGTGCAAGGATGGCCTGTAATGTGGGCAAAGGAAGCGCAGACGCGACATGGGTATGCGAGTAGACTTCGGTGGCGGTGTGCAGCTGACGACAGGTTCAGCAATACTGATAGACATCTTGATAACATGCGTACCTTAAATGTGGATCCCTCTCGAGCCAGATTGGTTATATTGCACTCGGTCTGTAACACGACGTTCGGCATGCTCCTAAGCGAAGTAAGAAGACCCTCGATTAGAGTCTCCATCCCATCCCCAAACGAGATTAAGGCAGCGCCCTTCAAGCGCTTCTCGAATGCAGCATCCTTGCCCAGCTCCCACGCCTCTGCGTCCTCCTTCGCCTTTGCATCTCGGGAGCGTCGAGATGCGGACAACCACGCGCGCGGGCCAAGTTCGCCCATGATCACGCTGCCAGCGCCGCGCTCTTCCGCCTCCCACATTGTAGGGAAAGCAGCACGAACGCTCAGCAGGCGTGAGTCCGCGGCGTAGATGCCGTGTACGAGTGCGGATCCCAGTACCCGCGCGAAATCCGCACCAAAACGACGGGTAAAGAACGAGTCGACGGACTCATCCGTGACATCAGGAAGTCGGTTCGCAGGAGTGAAGACCTCTTTAACGATCGCGCGGAGTATAAGCAAACCTAGACGGGTGGTGAATAAAGACCAGAGAGATGACGGAAGCATAGAGAGTCCATCCGCATCCGGTAAACTTAGAAAACGAGCACGAGCAGCAGGCGATGACTTGGGCGTCATGAGGACCGAGGCGCGCAGGTCGAGCAGGTTGATCTGTGAATGCTTAGTGTACTTCCGCCTTGATACAATGTACAACCGACCATCTCTAGTACAGACGGCGCATTGGGCCTCAGGGTCCGCGGCGCGGCTTCCAAGAGCACGCTAGCCGTATTTCCGAGTTCATCCTCCACATCTACGCGTTCGCTCTTGACCCAGCCGCCGCAGCGAGAAGCTTTCTCGTAGACTGTCACAGAAATGTCTGGATGTCTTCTCGCCAGATGGTACGCCGCAGACAGCCCTGTCAGTCCACCGCCTAGGACGGCAACGTGGTGTGAAGGAGACATGGTTCTCGTCAAGCCACTTGCAGCGACCGCGGAGCTTTATACCGACGGTGTAATGGCGAGACCAGGGCGAGGCCGCGACCAACAGCAAATCACGAATTACTCAGGACGACGCAGCGCGTCTCTCGTGCCACGAGGCTCACAGCAGTCTGTCTTTCGTGAAGAAGAGAAGTATCAGGGACATGTCTGTTTGCTCATGATGGTAGGCGGCTTGCCTACAAGTAAAGTTGAACCAAGTGGCGCGCCAGGGCGCGTCTTGACGAGATCGCTGATGCCACGTTGCCCTAGTTTAGCACTCGTGCCGCGCCCGCTCAGCCTGTCTCCTTGTCTTCCGCCACCACCCCATCGTTCCTTCAATTCCTACCCCATGGCTCGTCGGAAAGCAGCAAATGGTCTGACAATAGACTCATCCGAGGCGACCGACGCAGCTACCGAGCCATCAACGAACCTCACACTCGCTCCATTACCCGATGCGGAGAGAGACCCTGTCAAAGTGAACAATGCTTCCGCATCGGAGCTGAAGACCGCATGCGACGACGCACTCAAACGCGTGCGTACCTTTGTATATGATATAATCGGCCATGTCTGAAGGGTTTTTAGTTTCTATCACGACCAGATTTGTTCAAGCAAATACATACACATACCGATGTGCGATTGGGTCTCGGCTGGGCTGCTGTCATCATTGCCTTGGGAACTGGTCTGTACGGCTACTATGTGGAATTCGAGCAGGCCAAACCGCTAGTATGGACGGGCGTCAGCCTGTGCGTATACTCGATCCTCGTGGTTTCGCCTTCTTCTCTGACATACACGTGCCCAGCTATGTTGTCCTGACCACGTTGCAAACCCTATACGCATACTTCGTTGAGCGTGATACTGTCTTTGTAGGAAAACGGAAGACGCTGGACAAGCGGGTATGTTATATCTTCATCAACGGGCCGCCGGGACTTATATTGCCTGCCGTAGATCGTAACCGAACGTGTCACGATCGCGTCTCGCACCAATCCCTCCTCACCGAAAAACGCGCCTGCGTATTCTATCAAGCTCTCTTTTGTACGCTCCTCGAACGGGGGCAAATCATTACTAGGCAAGAGCGCCGAAGATGAGGCGCGCCCTTACACTGCTTTCTTCGATTCGGAGGGCACCATGGACCAACCTAGGTTCGAATCTTGGGTGGGAGATGTTGTAGGACGGGCTATGGAGAAGGCAGAGTGACTTGTGGCGTTGGTCTACGTGGTCTTGTCTCGTCTTTGCGTTGCGTTTGCTATCCTGTATCCGTCCTGTTGACTCTCCCTTCGCTGTATGATGGATTTATCTGAGCGGTCGTATTATTAAAGCGGAAGGATATTGTATACCGTGGTTGCGACTATTGACAGTGTTTCAATATACATGGAAATGAAGACGTATGGATGCTGAAGGGTGTTTGTGGGTCCCGGCGTGAACAAGAACCGCGATCACGTTGCCGTGTCAGTGTCAGACGCGTCGAGTAACCGTGATCTTACGACTTCGTGGGCGGCCTTGGAAATTCCTGCTTCAACCGTACCATCACTTTGCTTGCGTGTTTCCAGGCAGCCCGCTTGCCACTCGTTACCGACCTTCATGGCTGCCTCCAAATCCAAGCAGAATGGCTCGGCAAAGCCTGCGGCATCGCCGACAAAAGATCGTTCTTTCGTGACGCGCTGGGCTACGCGGTTAATAGCCTTGGTCGTCGCATACTTCACCTGTAGCTTCTTGGACTCTATCAAGGTTTGCGATTCTCAATCCTTCTTCCAGAAGCAGACTCACAGGAAGGCTTAGGACAGGTGGTATGTCTTCGACCCACCATTCTTGCATGAGCTGGCACGCTCCGCCATTGCGGCTTCACCCGGGGACACGGCCGGCATGATTCAGCATATCGTCACCAACCTCACCGAGACCTACCCATCCTCTGTTATCGCCTTGAACTCTGGTCTTGACCGAAACGAATGGTTCTTCAACAACGCGGGCGGCGCCATGGGGGCAATGTATGTCATACATGCAAGTATCACCGAGTACCTGATCATCTTCGGCACACCTCTGGGAACGGAGGGCCACTCGGGCGTGCACACGGCCGACGACTACTTCCACATTCTCGAGGGCGAGCAGTGGGCGTTTGAGCCAGGCGCGCTCACCAAAGAAGTCTACCGCCCCGGCGACGTGCACCTGATGCCCCGAGGTGTCGTGAAGCAATACAAGATGCATAAGAACTGCTTCGCTCTGGAGTACGCGCGCGGTAAGCCCTTTCGCATCCATGTCATCTCCCGCAACCCTGCAGATGGCTCACGGATCCGTCCAGGCTGGATTCCGCTCATGATGCCTTTTGGGCTTGCGGATGTCATGTCTTCGACGCTTGATTACCCCACCTTCTTCAAGACCTCTCGTATTACTGGCCGCGAGATGCTTCGCAACTTGCTCATCGGGAAGATCTAGTTGGTCGCGCCACTATCTAGACGCTTTGTCACCCCTTTAGTCGGAATCGAACCTAATGCTGCTCCGTCGCTCGAAGTGACACGGTCTGAACGCTGCTTCTCGTGAGACCGCCGAAGTGATGATGCTTGTGATATCACCGACTTCGGTAGCAGAGAGAGATAGAACTGTCCAGAGCACCGTACGCCTGTGTCTTCGCGAACCCGAAGGCGGTCATGCTTGGGTCATGCTACGCTTGTGCGAAGATAGCATTTGAAGATCGGCATTCTAACTGAGCTGAACGGAGTTGAACGGCGGGACCATTGATTCGGACCGGAGCGTTGTGCTGCGGCGGTCTGGAATCGTCGTGCCACGAAGCTCCGAGGTACGTCAATCTAAATGGAAGACGGATGAACACGATCGTCATCGAATCGGGCTTATCGAATCAATCGTGGTTTATACTTGTTCGGACACTGGTTTTCCAACCCCGCATGCGGACGATCGCGCAGTGCGCACGCGAGGGCGCACGATTGTGTGTGGCGATCAGAATGAACATCGGAGAAATGGTACAGTAGAATGAGGGCCGACCGTGACGGGGGAGGATGAGTGGATGGCTGCTACGGGATTGGGGGTAATGCAAGGGATGGTGGCCGGTATCTGAGTGACGGATGCAAAACTGAGGACAGACAAGAAAGCACAGACAGCAAACACAAGAACAGGCGCGTATCCCAAAAGTCGAGTGTGGCGCGCCAACGGGCATGCCGGCGGCGCGCAGGAATGGAGAGGCTCAGTTGATTTCCAACAGCTCGACCTCGAAGTGCAAGGTCGCATTTGGTGGGATGACTGGCGGGAAGCCCCGTGCACCGTAGCCCTGAAACGCGACAATCAGTCTATAGCTGCGTACCGAGGACAGCGGGACGCACATAATCGGGAGTCACGATCAGGTTGGCTTTGGTTCCGCGCGACAGTTGGATAACACCTGATAGCAATCGATGAGCACGATAGCATGGAGCATCGTAGAGTACAACGTCGACGCACCCTCGTCCCAGCCCTTGATGACCTTCCCGACGCCAATTTGTGTGAGGAAAGGGTCATTCCTATAGTGCGAGATACCGTCAGCGCCACTCCAATGCGTAACAGAGGCGGCGCGGCGAAAGCGCACCCCGCGCGCGCAAGCAGTATAGACAACGCACCGATCCCGACTTGAGTCGAACTTCTTGCCATCGTCCAACTTGCCGACATAATGGATCTTCACCATGTCTGCGAGCGTGTCAGTCACAAAAACGCGCGCATACAAGGACGGGACATACCGCCGGGTCTGGGGAAGTTCTGACCGTCGCCGGGGTTGATTACCTGAACCGTGACACCCTGAAGCACGGCGGTGAGCAAGGAGTGCTGCGGTTGTTGGAGTAGGTGCGCGTACCATGATGAAGACGGTGATGGAGGCAGGATGGACAGAAACTCGAATGCGAACACGGCGGGTTTAATAGGGGCACTTAGGGGGATCGATAAAGCTAACGTAAGATACTTAGATATTTACCCTTTTATCCAAATCAATGCAAATGAAACCTCTGCCACAGCTTTGGCTCTGTCTGCCGCGCAAGAGCCGCGCGCTCTGGAAGTCCGCCGTGGAAGGCTGGACAAGCATTCCCAAATAAATCAGCGCGTTCTTCCGATACGCAGGCCTGGCGGCGGGTATCCGAGGGTACCGTCAGAAGGCGGAGATTGAGAATATAGGGCAGCAAAGATGAGTGATCGCGGCTTGCGGTACAAACGCGTCGTAAGGTCGGCCGGCCTTGCCTTCTACGTGAGGCGAAGCACCGTGCGGCGGGCCACGTCTTTGGACGCCTAGGCGATCTCACGCCCGCTGATTGCTTGCGCGCACGAGCATCAGACCGACAAAAAGTCCGTGCCCCCTCGCGGCCTTGCCTGCAGGTAGGTCTACAGGTCCGAGTCTGAGGCGGGAGACTCCGTCTAGGGCGAGGCCCCGCCGACGTTGACAAGACCGGGAGGGCCGGGGTACCCCAGATATCGATGGCCACGATGCCCTACGCCATGGCCGCCGATTATTCGTGCTCGATTTCAGGTCGCAGCAAACCGAATCAGGGACAGAAGAACCAAGTTCAGCCGAAAGATGCGACGACGTCGTTTGGCCAGGCCGTCACGGAACGATAGCGTCCGGCGCCAGATAAACGAATCGACCTACTGTCTTCAGTAGCGATGAAGCTCAGCACGATGCAACCTTGACTGGGGAACAGATACAGAAGAACTTGGAGAGCAATGCCAAGCAGAGACCCTTGTGTGAGATTCGAACGTATGGCACTCAAGCGGCGACGAGCTTCGTAGCAATCCTCCCTGATCGGCCCGGAAGTGCAATAAATCTGCGAGCCAGTCAGAGCAACCATGGCAGGTTGCATTGCTGACATCTGTATAGGGATCGATGAGCTCGGTTGAATGATCTATGCTGTCGCCTTTTCGAGCTTCACGATGAATGGGGTCGAAGTCAGCGGTAGACATGAGAAGTCTGGTCAAAGAGTGGATCGAGTTGATGACTGGATATGACGTGTGTCCCTGTGAATCACTTGCCAATCAAGACGCCAACGTCAGAGCTTGTTTTGACTTCAACGTTAACGAGGCAGCTGCTCAGCCGAACTCGTACTTGCAGTACTGCACTTGGTATAATGATACGGGAAGCGTAACTATCTGCGTGCGAATGGGTCCTTCAGGCTCGCAGCGTGCGTTCTTTCATTCTTATCTCGTGATGTTCAACCTGACACAATCGACAAGGATCCGAATGGAGCAAGAGCTTTTTGTATGGCAGACCGCAGCCTGTACGCGGAATGAATTGCTACGTACTTTCTCGTGTACACGGTGGCATGGAGGCGCGGGATGGGAAAGCTTGAGATGCAGTGCGTTAGGCTTGACCATTTCGGATAGTACGGCGGACACTGTTGTTACTCCTGTCCTGTCGATCCATCGATGAGCTTGAGTATTGATTTGCCCCAACACCGGACATCAGACTACCCGAGTATGAGGACTGTATCTCTCGCGTGACCACGTGAGAGCTACGAACAGGAGTCCAATAGCCGAATGTCCGTGAACCGTGGATTACTCGCACAATACCGTCGTTGCCGCGTGCGGTCGCGTCGTGCCGTGTTCCGGCCATGGAAGCGAAACCCCAACATCCGGTATCTCCCCTCCTACCCGTCGGCCCGTTGCGTGCGAGGACAGGCGCAAGCGCATCGCACCACTCTCACCAGGCATTCATCTACTCTTGCTGCTCGGATCATCATGGAGGAGCCAATCCAGCGTCCATCGTCTCTTGATAACGTAGAAGAGTGCACTGGAGAAGGCTGTTGTAGTGAGGTACATCCCGGCGAAGTGGTGGACTACCGAGTCGTCGTCGGAGAATGCGTCCCGGACGGAGCGGGAGGTTGCCAACGTGCGACGGCGGCGGGCAAGGCGTGCTGCTCCCCAATAGATACGACGGAGGGTCAGTCAACCTGCTGGTGAAGCTTGTAGCAATGGGCTCTGACGATGCGTGCAGAATCGGACGCGGCGGGATGTTGCAGTCATCCGGAAGAGGATCAGAGTACTAGTGATTGTTGTGGCGACGACAACTGCTGCGCTGGAGACGACTGCTGCGTCGAAGAAGTCGAAGATGCTTGCTGTGGCGAAGATGCCTGCTCTGCCGAAGGTGCTTGCTGTAGCGGTAGGCTGGCCCGTGTCCTATTCTTCGCAATCTGATTGCCGATGAGATACAGATGCAGAATGTACCGGCGCCACTAAAGAATCCACCGACGACAAGGCGAAAGGGCCCTCTGACAAGGTTCAAACCGCATCCTGTAATGATGCCTGTTGCGATACCCTTTCAGCGCCCGGTCAGTCACTCACGCCTGCCTCATGCAGAGTCGCGCGCGTTTTCTTACGTCCTTCCCACTCGCTCTAGATTTCGAGAAGGACGACTGCTGCTCCGGCTGTGATAGCCATGCTGACAGATCGGGCAAGAACCAGCCTTCCAGCGGATCGTCGAAGGACTGCTGCAGTAACCCCGAGCCGGAGCAATCTACAGTACTACGCCGGCGTCTTATACATGTCACCCGCACAAGTAGCGATACGCAGCCTCATGTTCATGAACACAAGCTCGGCCAGTCACGCCGCCGCCACCGCCATCGTGTAGGGAAGGACTGCTCTGCCGGCAACGCATTCAGTCGCTTTTGGGAGGCAGCTTGCTGCTGCCTCGTCGATTGGAGCCGTGCCAATCATCACCATCACCCCAAGAAGAGCGTTGCTCGTTCATCGACCCGTCGTTCGAGCGTGGATCATGGCTCGTACCCGCCTCGCCACACCTTCGAACCAGCTCTCG